ATCTATTCTTAGCCACAAGTGCTTTTGTACACCACTAGATGAGAGGCGATTCTGTTCTTTTTCTCTCGACAGGTTACTCTTTTGACTTAATCATGAGTACGAAGAGGAAAGTGGATCCATGGAGAACAAGACTTATCATTTTACTTTACATCTATAACAGTGATGCAAAAATATTAGGTGACAATTAAATTACAGCATGATTACTCAAGCCTAGTCCTTATGAGGTACTATCCGGCACTTTTACGTATATTTTAGATTCAAGTGTGTTAGAGAAGAGATGCATCTAAAAGTTACAGGATAATAGCTCTTGAGGACTGTACTTGAGCACCCCTGAGTTACAGATTAGCTTTATCCTTCATTTTGCTTCATACCTATAGATGACGATAGAATTAATCTGAAAGGATCATTAGACTTCAGCCATCCATGTGGCTGGGAAATTCCAACTGTTTTCAGATATTGATTTATAAAATATACAAAGACATATCTAATATCCATTCCACCAAAGTACTTTATGTTGTGTCTGTCACATCAAATCCACCAATAATAAGTTTTCATTTGATTATCCTAAAGTCAAATCATCCTGGCTTAAACAATTATATAAATGTACTCTATCAGACTATATTGTCCCAAAATCTAGACAATTTCTATTAAAAAAAAAAAATCCTGGATTAAAATCTGGAGGGGATCTTGAGCTACAAAATCCAATGATATATCAACGGTCATCTGTCAATCAAATTTTTTTCGGTCATAGCATCTTAATTCATATGTCGCAACTAATATATGCAATGGTTGAAATAAGAAATAGTAATCATTATTTGCAGTCATGTATCATTGAGTCACATCCCAGTATTCATGGGGATGAATGGAGATCTGTGTCTTCGGCCGGCGTAGAGCTAACAGAATTGCCAGCGTTGCAAGGCAGGGGCTCAAACATGCAAGGCTATAAGCCTTCTACACCAAACGAAGCACCTGCCACCCTGGCGTCCTGTTCCACAACATCTTCGTCCCCAACTTTCCTCCACTAAATAAAAAATATATGACGGAGGAGACTCATCCACAACATCCGACACAAAACTCTCCTCCTCTTGCATTTTTCAGTTGTCCATAGTGTTCCTTGACAGTTTCGAAGTTACCAATTTAGTGCTACTTGATCCCAATGTAATTTGCCATTGGGAACCTACTAGGACTAAGTTGCTTAAGAAGAAACCAGAAGCTAACCAGAAGAAACCGGTCACAATCAAACTTGCTTGCAAACCTTCTGCCACAACAATCCCGCCCTCTTGATAAACGACAAACCACATTCACTTTATTCACTCGTGTAAAGTTGTGCACCAGTCGGGAGAATTCGGAAATGCAACGGTTGGAACAGCCATTTCCCTATGACTTTAAATATAAGTAGTAAGATATTGAATTTACATTTAGAGAAACTCTGTCTTTAACTCTTTTTCTATGGTAAATGTTATTTAAGTAACTTTTAACTTTGAAATTAATATTATTTTTTCTTAAGCTTTTTTTTTTTAGTTGAATAATCCAATACTGTGATGAAGTGCTGCTAATGTAACTTCCTGTTTCAACATTCCGTTTTGCTGGTTGTCTTGGGCCGCGTAAGGCTACATACTAAAGTGCTTCCAGCTGAAGGCTACGATAAGTAGCAGCCAGAAGTCTGTGCTCGCTGGACCCAGTCACACTGCCTTTTTCCTGGGATTCAGAAGGAACTGAATGCAGTGTTTTTATTCTTCCTTCGATTCAAACCGAGTTGAACGTAGTGTCCACTGAAGCATGCTGCAGCAAGGACAGAGAAGAGCTAATCCAGCTCTGCTAACCTAAACCTAGCCCCCGAACAATGGGGCCCCCATTCGCTGTTTGCCAAAGGAGCCCTTAGAAGCCGCCAGACCCCTGACTGCCTGAGACGGAGACAGACTCAGCAGTACCAAGGAACTGCTGCTGGAGGCTGCGGCTACAAGCTAACCATGGTAGCAAAGAAGTGAGACGTCTCACAAAGTCACCAGTTGTTTCATCAAATTGATTCAAAATCTCTGAGAGATTCTGTTGGACAAACGGACTGGACAGAAGATGGGGCCTGCAGAAAACTGGACCAAGCCGAAGGCCTTCACTCCACTGAACCAAAACAGTGACATCATACTTTTCCCCCTCCTTTCCATCTGATGCTTAATAGGTGCTCTGCTTGGGTGAATTAGGTAGAATAGATAGTCTTGTTGGTGTTATATTTTAAATTAGCTTTCTGATTCAACTGCTGCTGGTTTCAAGAATTTTTAACTGAATGCAAATGCACACTACATAGACTGAACGAGTCATGTGTTCCTGAAGCTAACTGCTGCAGTGAACTGGCTAGCATTGTAGCTCCAGCTACCTCGTGCTGAACACGTTATAGAGCATCATGAGCAAACCCTTTCTTTCGGTTGGATCCGACCAGGCCAGAACCCCTGGGCCCCAGGGCCCTCATTGCTGTTACATACCCTCTTGAGTCATTATTCATTCTTCACCATAAAACTGAATGAAACTGCACTGTTTTGATTGCAGTTAACATCGCTGCATTAGGGTTTATTCACATTTTATCTGCTGCTTTTATTTTAACAACACTTTCAATGCATTAAGCCTTAAACTTCGAACATTCCACAGACTTTGACTTTTAAACCCTTCTTCCACCTTTTATTTCTTTATTTTTGCTTATTTTCAGTAGTGTTTAGTGCCTGCTTAGTTATTAGAACTGTGTGACTGTTGCTAATAAACATACCATTGTATTTTAACTCGCAGTCTTTTTTGCTTGTTTTACACAGGGAACGATTTATCACCCACTCTTTCAGTAGCATCCGAATGAATAGAGACACATTTAGTTGGTTGTTGATTAATGACATTGCTAAGAGCCATAACCTAAATTACTTAATTGGTAAAAGACAACTGATTTTTTAACAGCTGGATTCACGAGTCCAACCTTTTAGGTAAGAGGCAAAAAAATCCTGGTCAGTAGGCAAATTACAGCTGTAATCTTTCAACTGATAATAATTAACTAGTTTTAGCCTTGATTTGAATGACCCATTAATTAACTATAATTTCCAGTTCTAGTTATTTATTACAATTATAATCTTCTGGTAAACTCTCACAATACAATTTTACTTTTAGGTGGGGGCTGCACGGCAAACACTGATAACAAATTTTATGACACCATATACCAGCTAGAGTTTAAATGTAAATTTTTTGTTGTTTTTTTGTTTCTTAGAATGAAAACTGGTGCATATCTCAGCACTGGATTTTTCACTATGATTCTGGCTATGGAGATGTGTGACAGCATAGATGTCTATGGAATGATTGAAGATAACTACTGCAGGTGAGTTTATGACCAGCGCTGAAGCTGTGTCGTTTTCGTGTACTGAATCTTCCAAAACTAGTTTCCCCTATTAGAGATGTGTAGGAAAGCCTTAAAAAAGGTGTCAGGTTGTGGAAATCCTTCAGCAGGTGTAAATTTTGATTATAAGATAAATAAATAAAAAAATTATAATTTAACACAGTGAAAAATAGATAAAATTGAAGATATTTTAAATGCATCCATTTGTTTTAAATAGTGTATTGCCAAAATGCAACGAGAAAAATGCTTTTTTTAAGGCAGATAAATAGTATTTAGATGCATGTTTAGCTTAACTTGAGATTTTAGTTTTACATTTTTTAGCACATTAACTTGGTCATTATGAAGTTGATTAGATACACGTGTCTTCATATCAAGTTGATTAGATAAACTTGTCTTCATCCAGCCTTATTTATCTTAATTTTGATTTTAAACATGTACACTATTGCTTTGATTGTGAATACTGACAATCAAAGCAAATTTAACTTTTTTGCTTTTTTTCCTCCTGACAGCCAGGCCAATCGCTCTGTAGTACCTTACCATTACTACGACCAGAAGAGGATCAGTGAGTGCAGGATGTATACATACCATGAACACAAACCCCTTGGAGGACACCGCTTCATAACTGAGAAGGCGATTTATGCAAAATGGGCAAGGCGTAACAAAATACAGTTTAAATATCCTGCATGGAGACTCCACCGTGGTTTAGATACTCTTCACGAGGAATGGCAACCTGTATAAATGTCTTATTAACAGAAAAGATGCTGTGTTACAAAGGAAGGTAGATGTTACTGGTCTCAATAATTTTGTTATTGTTTTTATTTTTACCAAAGAAAAGGTTTTTCATTTCATGTGAAGAGAAGCATTTCTGAGGCAGCACACAGTGACTGTGACTGGTTATATTAGACATGTTTATCCATATGTTTGTATGGATATCAGTAAAGCATAAGAAAACAGTAAACACAAAACAAAGTTTATTTCACAGCTGGCTGTCTATAATTTCCTACTTCTCTTTTAGTGCCTTACTTTTAAGACATACTTTGCACTTTTTAATTATGAGCTGCTCTCCTCATGTTATTGTAAAGCTAAAATGTGGTACCGGGTATATAGCTTTACAATCAAACATATCCAGTATTAATAAACATTTTGTTTTAAGTTTGGTAAGATCAATAAGTAAAAAAATGTACAACATCAAATGTTACAGTGCAGGCCAGCTAACAGCTTTCCTACGGCCCGGGACAACACAGTCTTTTTGCCCCCAAATGTGTTTTTCTCCCTTACACTAGCTAGCGGATGCTGTACTTTAAAATCATATTGATAAAAGTATTGCCTCTTACCTAGCTCTGAATGGCCATTGTTCTTCTGCAATTCTGTTCCTGGACCTGTTCCTGACTCATCCTTAGTTTATTTTTAATATTTACTCTAGCCTTTGGTGTCATCTTCCCTTTTTCTTTTCTCTTTTCTTTTTGTGCACTAGACTTTTGAAAACCTGACAAGTTTGCAACAAAACAAACTTTAAAAGTTACAGCCTGCCGCTGTCCTGGTCAAACCATTTTATGTTGGGGTGAGAGTTTTAATGGCCCCTTATTAAAAAAATTAAAACGTATTACATATACCAATATATATTAATTACTCTAATATTAAATATTTTTATCACAAATATCTTCTGAAAATGACTTCTGTCTGTATTTTTAATGGACAGCGTTTCAATTTTGGGCCACCCTCTGTCTTGGGCCTGGGACAGTTGGCCTGGATAAGCATGTTGTGACAGTTGACCCTGCTACCTTATCTTGTGTCAACCCCTCATACTACATATGCAACTCTTTTTTTCAGCCTTGCAAAAAATAACCTCAAAGTCAAATATTTTTTTCAGTTGAGTTCTATATGGTACTATTCAAAAGTTTTAAAGTTTTCCTGTGGCTGTTCCTTATTTTACAAATAGAAATATTAAGAGAGCGGAACATAAATGCATTTAGCCTAGTGTACTCTAACCTTTGGAAATAAAACCCAATGCAAACAACAGCCTTTAAAAGTTACCAAAATAGGGATTTGCTGGTAAAATTTGTTAACCAGATAGCTTTAAAAAAACAACAACAACTGGCTTTTATAGAAACATGGCAAGAGGAAATCAGTAGGAAGTTCTGTTTCCATTTTCTAAAAAGTCATATGAGAGTTATGGATGAAGGTTCCCTGGTCAAGTGGAACCGAGTCAGAGCTTCTTGATCAAGATGTAAAATTAGTTATGTGAAGAAAAATAGTTTACATTGTCAAATGTGACAGTAGAATCATGCTATGGAGTGTAAGGATTATGTTTTTATTATTCATGTAGGGGTTTGTTAAACCCTAATGTTATCTGCCTGTTGAGTGTCAAGACTGATGTTTTCCTAAGCAGTTTATCTAATTATGATCGTTTTTATAAAAAAAAAAAAAAAAAAAAGAACTTATGAAAAGTAATCATCTTTACTATGTAAGTAACAAAGATTTGGGAATGAAATGGAAGCATTGTCCTTGATCTAAAAACACTGTGTATTATGTGGACATGTTTGGAGCCAGTGAAATCTACTCATTTACCAACCTGTGTTTTATGTAATGATGGGATGATGTGGCAGAGTGTGAGCATGTTATTTAACTGTTAATCTGGGCCAACTTTCAGAAGAAGGAAGCCCGGTGGTAAGCAATGCCATTTGTAACCTGAGCCATTTCTCTGGTTCGATTAACATTAAAACTTTATTAGAATCTGTGGTCATGTCTCAAAGTCATTTAATACAGGTACATCATAAAGTGTTATTTAAAGTGTTTGTTATGCATCATCTTTTCTCAGGCAAAAATCAGGGGAGAAAAATGGAATGCAGAGAAAATAATGTAGACAAAGAATGAAGCAGGGAATGCTCTTAGAAAGTTTTGGGTGGCTTTTAAAAACAGCCTTTTTAATTTAGCCCTATAGGACTGTTTGTCATCTCCATTACCTCCAGCACAGACACTGGACAGTTTTTTCCGCCTTTCCTCACTTCGGTGCACTCTACCCACTGGGCCATACCACATTAAATAAAGTTTAATAATGATAATGAAATGAACAGGGAATACAATCATCTTCGTTTTATTTAATTTGGGCTCCTATAACATCTCATCCTGCTGGACGGTGGATGTTCTTGGCGGCTTTATTGGATAAACAAAATTTAGCTGTTCTGGTGCATGATCAAGCTACTCCTCAACTCCAGTTTCATATATCACTATCAAATAAGTTTTATAATAAAAACCAATACGTTTAAAGGTTGAATTTGGATACGGTGACCAGATGTCCCTGATGTATGTCTTTTTATCTACGAAATGAATGTCCCAGATTTGGTTTTAGAAATCTGGTCACCCTATATTTGGATGAATATGTTTAATAAGAAATATTTAAAAAAAATAAATTCTACTAATATCTATATTCAGTACATCAAAGACCGCTACAAGTTAATAAATAAATAATACAACAAAAAGAAGAATATGTGGCGGCCCAAATTATTTATCAGTATAGACTTTCAGAACAATTAAACTGTTTTGCAACAGCCCTACTATGCACACAGCCCACATGATCACAGCAAGATGCACCATGTGACTTGACTTTTTTCTTTTTTTTTTTTTTTTGCTAAAATAAAGTACATAATGAAGCAAAAACATAAACATGGGTCAATCCCTGATCTCTATTTATTCACTGGATTGCTGATTGCCAAAACCAAAGTTAAGCCACTGGCCGCCGTATTGGCACTCCCCTCTCCCACAGAGATGCGCCGTAAAAATGCCTGGATGTTTGGCATTTGACTGCAAAAACAAGCAGTTTGCCGACTGTGGGAAGACGTTTCACAGGCAACTTCACAGTCAGTAGATGTACCAAGCAAGAAAATCCATATATACACCGATGTATCCTATAGGGTAGTATTTAGCGTAACGTTAGTCTGGCTATCTCGAAGACATTGGGTGCGTTAGCCATTGATATTTTGTCTAACGTTAGAAAATAGAAAGTAGAGTAAATAGAAAGTAATTCACTGTGAAATGTCAATGTAGTAATTCTTTATCAAGTGGATGACGCTGTCGTTTTTGCAGTGATCTCCTTTGAAAAATTCATGTGATGAAATATATTGCACCTTATATTGACGGGGGGAAATATTAACTCAAACATTTTTAAAGGCTAATGCACAGACACAGCATGAACGTATATGCCATTATGCATGCAGAATTTGCAAATAGCCCAATACTATAGCATTAACAGACATGTAATTGTAATTCAGTCTTGAGGTAAAATCTTTAAATCATATATAATATGTAATTACCATAACAGTGTAATCCATACATGCATATTACATGTACATCATCGATTTATGACATCATTATTATTATGCTCCATTGACACATTCATTTTATTGTAATTGGATTTGTATATGTTATAATACATGACTTTAGGACTTAATTGACTTTATAATGACTATGCGATGTGATGTGCAGTGAATAAATAGAGATCAGTGGGGTCAATAAGTGGGGTCAATAAGATATGGTGAATGCAGCAGTTAACTAGATGTAAGGAGTTAAAGGAGAACTCACAGCTTTTGAAAATTTATGCTGCAGTTCAGCACCGAGTTGTGATTGTGAAAGATTTAGTTTAACACTGTCACTGTTTTAGGAAGATCTTAAATTGTCTGCTTTATGATGCTTGTGGTCCCCATGGGGTATCAGCAAAAATGCACTTGTAGATGATTCACATTTCTTTATTTAACTTTAATTGTTTTTTTTTCCTATAATATAAACAAATGAAGAAATGAACTTACGATAGCTAGGCATTGAGCTCACTGGCAATTAGCACATGAAATAAAGAAAATGGCTTTGGGAATTATTAATAGGCTCTTTACAAAGGTTGCATGAACAATTAAAGCTGTAATTGGCTGCATACTCACATTATCACGCACATGTCTCCATTGTATCCACAATGTCTGACACTCATCTGAAAATATTTCACTGTTCCATCTTTGCAATATTCCAATTAAATAAACCGTAAATTACTTTGGAATAAAGTTAACCAAAAAAACAGAACACTAGATGTGACCTTAACTTTAACTCAATTTTAAAAAGAACAAAGAAAATATTTAACCCTATGGCTCCAAAGAGACTTATCCCTTCGGGGCAGAATATTACTCTATGAAGCTGAAGGAAGGACTAACCTATGCAGCTGTTTCTCTTGCTTTTGACTAAAATACATGCAAAGAAATTGATTGGACACTACGCATCATTATTTGGAAAAATAAAACTCATTACATTAAAAAATGAATAGTTATGATACAGCAGGTCTTAACTTTCTCAACTTTATGGCAATTAACAATAAATTTAAAGTGAACTGGAATAGAAATTGCCTACCTAACTTAATCTGGAATCTTATTCCCCACCACATGTTCTCTAAGATAGGTGGTCTTAAGTTTGTTTTAATGTGTTAATATAACATTGATGGTATTCCTGTCGCTCTATAACTTTCATAAACAAGCCCTCCGGCCTGGTTGCTTATTTTCAAACATATTTATTTCCCCCTAATAGGTGTTTTTCTTGGAATAACAAAATATATGTCATAAGAAAAAAACTATCTGTTTTTTGAAAACTGGTTTAGGTATGATATCAAAGTGGTAAGTCAACTTTTGAAAGAAAAAGGGAACTTCTTCAATTAACAAGAATTTCTATATCATTTTAAGATGCATGTAAGCCCAAAACAGTTTGCTATTGTTTTTTATGCTATACCACCAGGTGTTATAATGTTTTTAAAGGTCAGACTTCTGTGTTCTCTGAAGGCCCAAGACCTCTACCTGATCCAACTGACACTTTTGTAGGTAGAATGTGATTTCAATCCAAATCTTCTAAAAATAACAAACATATTAACACTTTATTCAAAGCAAACTGCATCTCAGTTCCTTATATAATTTCAGTCTGGTCTGGTCTGGTCTCAGAAATGTGCTGGAACAAAATGTGGACTCTACCCAATAAATATTGACTAATCAGCAAGGTTAAAGAAGTTTCTTTTAGGATCATTCACCGTTGTTACCCAGTATAGGCATTTTTGATTAAATATAAAAATGACATTGATACCACTTTCAATTTCTGCAACATTTACTTAGAGTCTGGCATCTATGGCAAGGTATTTGTTGCTTTATTCTAGACAATATTTATGACAATTTTGAACTTTATTTTAGAGATATTTTATTTCAATCACAAAACATAAATAAGAACTTTCTGGCCATTTCTTTTTATGCAATAATTTGCTACTGTTGACCAAGTTTTATATCCACAAAGGTAAATCTACTATGAAAAAACCCTCATGCATCTCTTTTTTTAAAGAAAACAGCAACTTATTTTTCTACATTGTCCTCCTCCAACATCAAAAAAGCTATTAAAACTTTATCTTTATGCTCTAAAATCTACGTATTCATGTAATCCCCTTACATGCTACTATGTGTAGCTTTACTCTATTACTATTATTATGTGTACTTTTTTTTATTTATTATTAGTATTTTTGTTCAAACCCACCCTTATTTATTTGCGTATATTATGCAGAATGGGCTAATAGTGTTTATTTAAAAAAAAGAAAGAAAGAAAACCGATGTGCTCTTAACCTAACCAGCAAACAACCTGGCCTGTGATTGGCTGCTGTGACTGTTATAGTGAAACCCAAATACTGTAGCTTAAGTCCTTCGTCAGATTCACCTTGGCCATTTTAAAGGGCAAAATCACCCAAATTAAAGGTAAACCAATGGAAATGGCTGTTTCAACTAATCGATTGGAACCTGGTCATTTTGATCTGTTGGGAGTTCCAGTTGAAATGGAGGATGTCTGGAAGAATAGAATATGGTTAAAAGTGATCACATGATTCTGGAAAAGAATAAAACTTTAAATGATAAATTACATATTTTTTTTCTTTTCATTCAAAAACAGGGAAGGTCCAAAGAAAAATCAGTGTGGTTTGGTCATAGAAGATTGTTCTTTGAGTCTCTTTTAAATGAGCAAAGATAGTTTCAGTTTCAAATACACTTATGTACAGCATGTAGCATTTAGCAAGGTGCTCCATTTAGTCTTTTCCCATATCAAACTCTGATACACTTATAATCCAAACGTGTTGGGTCTTCCTTCAACATACATTTTAAGCCATTTCTAACCTAGTAATGACATCCAAGCCCTATTAACTGTCAGAAACGGGACAGATGGAGCCAGTATTCAAGGTGAGACAGCCAGTAGGAAAGTTCAAAACGTTTATGAAAACAAAGCAGAACATAACAGAACAGAAACGGGCTGCTGAAGATCTGTGGACCTGCAGAGACTGCGGGAATGGGGGGCAGGGCATTAACACTCTCTGGTTAAACAGTTCAGTCCATTCCCTGCATGGAAGGCAAGATCCATCCAATGGACTGCCGAACGGGATCCAATGCAGAGCCGTCCAGGGTGTCCCCAATCAGAACAGCAAAAACAGAGAGTTGACAGTTCTGAGATCCAGGAGTCCTCAGCTCGACAAAGGGTTCAGATCCACACAGGAACAAACAGAAACGGGGTTCCAGGAATCCAAAGAGCTTTAAGGCAGGTTCAGAGTCAGATGGGACAACAGATGGGACAACAACAATAAAATACAATAACTATAAAGACTCGTACCAAAACTTAAATATCTCACAAATAAACTCAACAACTAGATCAACATTTTTTGCAAAACTAGAATCCCAATTTTTTTTGCATAAACAGAACCCCATATGTTGTGCCATATGCCATGATCAAACTTTTTGGACATTGGGAACGACTGTCTATATTTCATCTTGATAGGATGACCATAGGAGAACAAGCAGCTTTGGTGAATAACAGCTGGGGGACTTCTGCAGCCCCCCTTTTCAGCCAAAGCAGTCACAGGCCAGTCACATGGAAGCCGCCAGAGGTGTGAGGTGTGAAAAACCACCCCTCTCTGTGAGGACAGAGAAAACCAGAGAGCACACAGGATTCTCTCTCTTCTGCTCCAGCCTCTCTTTTCTTTTGCCTCCTCACTCTTTGGCTCCTCCTCTCCTTGCCTCCTCTCCCTTGCCCAGGGAGATGGGGTCCGCCGTAGTGGAGATGCGGGCCCCAGGGGAACCAGACCCCCAGAACCATCAAGGATAAGTCAGAACCTTTCAGAACCAAACTGCTGCAAACAGACCTTTTGCAACACATTTCTCTTGAGTTTCAGAACTTACAGAGCCAGACTGGAGAGAAGGCCTAGCCTGTCTTGATGAACGACAAAGACAAAGAGGACCCATGCTGTGTGCCACTGAGACAAAGAACTCCTGCTGTGCCCTGACTGCAGAGCTGCAAAACTGGATGAAACTCAAGCTTTCCAAATGGACATGGAAAAAGGTTTGCAGGTCTGGCATGATTAGGGACCGAACAAGCAATATGTCTTTTGATGATGCTAATCATATTGTCTGTTTACTGCTGAGTAAAGACAACGCTAATTGATGCCAAAGAATGGACTGCATGCTACGCTATGCTACAGGAATATGTGTTGAGCTGTTGCTAAAGCTTAGACAAGCTTTATTCACTAAGGATTTAAACACTGATATAACATTAGTGTTCATGTGTTCCTCAAATGCTCATTACATTTCCATTACCAAGTATGACCAAGAGTCATTTAATGGAATCCTGATGTCTATTCGCTGCTAGCTATTTCAAAGAGGGTAAAGAATCATTTAACTAAAGGTTTTTGGTTCTTGATTAAGCAAATCATTCAATAAAACATTATTTGGCCAAATAATGTTTTATTCACCTCATGGATTTGCATTGTGAATTGGTCTGAAAACATTCCAATTTCTTTAAAATTAGTGAAAAGCTAATTTGATCATATCCCAAATTATTCCAGATAAACTTTGGTTTCAAACAAAATCCATCTTAAACTGTAATATGTTTTTCAACCGTTTTCCCCTTCCTCTTTGTACATAGTAGTTAGTTTAGTTTAGTTGAGTTTTACTAGTCTTAGTTGAGAGTGTTAAACTGAAATACGTTTGACTTGGAGCTGAATTAATTTTGTTAATAAACTCTTATATTTTGAACAGAAGTTGTGGTGAATTTATTCCATGTATGTGCAGAAATAACTGTTTGACCATGATTAGTGCTCGAATCACTCTTTCATCTATTGTTCTAATACACAGTTAGTAGGACTGTGTGTCATAAACACTATATAACAGCTGAAATAAAATCTGATTAAATAAGATATTTTACCCCCCCTACCGGAGAGGGCAATAAACATCTTAAAGTATCAGAAACATAAATTCCCAGCTGGCTGGGAAGAGAAAAGAACAAAAAATCACAACACCATACCTTTACATAAAAATAACCCCTCGAAACACTACAAAACCTACACGTGGGGCCACACACACACACTTACCCTCACACAGTTAGGTACCATTTTAGTTTTTGTTGCAGACCCTGGAACAGTTCAGTGCATTCTCCAACCTTGTTCCGGCTCTCCTAAACTCAGGTCTCAATCCGCATCCTCTTTCCTCTATCCTTTCCCGCCCTCACCTTCTTCCTCCCATCATCCCCAACTCCGTTTTTTTTTTTTTTTTTTCACAACTCCCCATTGAATTCACTTGTCCCTCAGATTACTGACTATCCTTTCTTATACTTGTACTCAGTCCGTATAACAATTTAGTCTGACAAGCAAAATTACACACATGGAAAAACAGTTTAAAATGTAAATTACAATGTAACTAATCACCCAGACTACACATTAGAAATAAACGATCAGAAAACACTGATACAAGACTTTCACTTGTATTTATCATACAAAGAATATACAGTAATTATGTATGTACTCAAAAATTTCAGTGCATGTTGTTGTTGTTTTTTCTTCTTTTTGTTTTTATAGCCCGGGCTACACAACTGTATCTGCTTTTTTATTTCTTTTTCTTTGAACACCTAGTGTTCTCTTTATGGCCCTGTCACAGTCTTTACCCAAACATACATTATATCTGCTACTGTGGTAGGAAAAAGGATTAATTACAGTGATCTCTAACCACTAGGTCACCACTGCCACTCCCAAATAACTTTAGTGTAGAGCTGCAAACATTCATGTTGCTTACCTTCTCCATTCAAGGGAAACTGTGCCTTCCATTCAAGTAATGTCAAGTTCCATTATATATACCTATATGCAGTATTTCACAGTAATAATACTGAGAAATCCTTGCATTTTTTTCTGTGCTGCTGTAATATTACAGACCTTGTTGTGCAATTTTAGTGCAAAATATGCTCCAAAATCCAAGGAGACTTTAGTTTTGCTGGTATTCATTGGGATATTACTGAATATCTCAGTTATAAGTTACTGTAAAATAATACTGTTAATCCTTTTGGAAACCTGGTAATTCTGTTGGTGCTACATCAAGGACACTTTATTTATAAATAGGGTCATGGTTACAGGTACTAAACGTAAGTATTGTGTCCCTTTATATCATGATTATAACACACTGATACATGTCTAGATCTCTAATTTACATACTGTGTTCATATACCAGTTTGAGCATAAGGAAAAGGCATAATGAGAGTGTTATTGCTGTAAAATATTTATTACACGTATGGTCACGGGTTTTGTATTAGAATTTTTCAAAAGCTTGGTTAAGTTTTACATCCTCATGCTTGTTATTTTGGTAATACACATTATTACACTGAACTGTTATTGTGGTAGGAAAAATACAGAAGAGGATTAGGGCCACTGAAAAAATAAAAAAAAGTTAACTGATTTTTATATTTTATTTCAGTATAATATGAGAAAAAAGTCCGAATTCTGACTTTAATCTCAGAATTCTGAATTTTTCTCACAATTCCGATTTTAATCTCAGAATTCTGACACCTAACATACATGTTATAATCAAGCCATAGCCATGTCTGTTTTAGAGACTAGCTCTCTTGTTTTAATCACCTTCTGCTCTTCCATCAATGAAATAGCAGCACCGAGGACCCCTCGGGCACGTAAAAAGTTGCCTAATTGCGTTATTTTCCACCAATGTGTTACTGGCCCTCCCAAACAACTCACATCTTTGTCAGTGAAGCTGAGTGCTCACACAACTCTTCCTTCATGGTGACCATATACATTAAGATCCACAATTCTGAGATTAAAGTCAGAATTCTGAGAAAAAGTCAGAGATCTGAGATTAAAATCAGAATTCTGAGAAAAAGTCAGAGATCTGAGATTAAAGTCAGAGATCTGAGATTAAAGTCAGAGCTTTCTCTATAGTTATGCTGCTATAGGTTTAGAATTCTGGAGGACAAAGGGACCCCTATTTCATCATTCTGCTTCATTCTGTCTCGATTCTCTATTCAGAATCTGTTAGTTCAATCTCTAACATTATGCTCTCTCTGCTTTTCCTCAGAGTAGCTTTGCCTCGTCTGTTCCTGTTTGGCTGTGACACCATCCTGGAGAGAATTATCAGCTGTGCTGCTTCCACCATCACCCTTGTTTATAGATGCTGGAGATCTGCCTGTTTTCCAGTGTAGTCCTGTTTCTCTGACCGTGACTGACTGAATGTGCTCTCTTCATCCTCTGACATGGGTGCTGGCTTGGAGCTCGTCTGCCCGGCTGTGTGTTTCCTGGACGGGGCCGCCTTTTAGCTGCTTTTTGTATCTCTGCTTCTGTCTCCTTGAACCCCAGTGGGCCTCGGCAGATGGCCGCTCACACTGAGCCTGGTTCTGCTGGAGGCTTCTTCCTGTTAAAGGGATTTTTTTCCTCTCCACTGTCACTACAAGCATGCTTAGTGTGAGGGATTGCATTTTAGTCAATGCAATCAACTGGTTTTCCTTAGATTGAAAACTTTGAATCAATTTGACTGTATGATCTGGTTGATCTGTAAAGTGCCTTGAGATGACATGTGTTGTGAATTGGCGCTATATAAATAAACTGAATTGAATTCTGAGAATAAAGTCCGAATTCTGAGATTAAAATCAGAGTTCTATATTAAACTGAAATAAAGTTAAACTTTTTTTTTTTTCAGTGTCCCTAATGCTCTTCCGTATACAAAGGATTAATTATAGTAGTATTTAATTTTAAAGATAACTTCGGAATAGTTTTTCTTCTATACTAAGAAAATGCTTCAAGTTTGAAAAAAAAAAAAAACGGTAAGTTTGTGGCGCTTGTCGCGTGCTGCAGTAAGGGAGGCGGCGGTGACGTCAGCACGTGGCGCAGGAAAAATGGGGTTCTCAAAGGGGGAGGTTGACATCAAACGGCATAACACCATGATAAGGTAAGCCCGGTTTATCGGTAGGCTCTCATCAAACCGTTTCGCTCGAATAAGGTTTGTCATGATCGGATTTCTGTTGGCGGGCTGTTGATTTAAACAACTAACGGTAAAAACGGAACTGTAACTGCAGCCGACGAGCGGCTGCGCAAAATGGTGCGTCGGTGCCTAAATGTTTACATTGAGTGCCCAGTTAGTGTTGTTAGAATAGTGCTTTGAGTCCGAACAGAATACGCTCTTTTCAACGACATATAATGCAATATAATGTGATTATATAAACGTGTCTGTTGCTCACAGGTGATGACAGACATTGACTGCTGCTGCTCTAGTTCTCATCGGAAAGAATGGTGCTCAGGATCAATGGCAAGGTAAGAGAATCCAAATCAGCTGTGACCAATTAACTGCTAATTATCACCACAGCTGATATAGCCTGGTTTATAATGAGGATAATATTCAGGATCTATAAACATCAAGTCGTTTTAAACCTGGTTGTATATTTAAAATGCTGTGGTGGTTAACACGGGCTGATCAAATAACCAGAAATTCCCTTTCTGTGACAGGGCGTTTCTTATTACCATATATTCAGTGGAGGAGCAGGAACATTTTTCAGGCAGGGAACAATGTGCACTGAGGGTCAGTCCTCACTTATAACACTGTACCAACAGGAAACCTCCATATCAAATAAAGCATTTTAGACCACATTTATATAAATCCCTCACTAATGAATCTATTTACACAATTTTACAACTTTTAAGTAGTATTTATATTTTATTAATGCTATATTTATATAAACAAACCATGTGTTACAGGTTCCAAGTAGGGGACCGTGGTAGCAAATTTAAAATATCCTGAAAGACAGATGAAATAAAAGGAGACTCAAGCAGAGCAGCTTTCTATGTTTTCTCCCAAATTGCATTTGGTTTATTTATTCAGAAAAAAAACCCACAAAATATCATTGCATTGATTGTTTTGTTCGAGTTCCAGTGTGGTGTACAATATGTAAAGCAATAATATATCAATATATANTGCATTGATTGTTTTGTTCGAGTTCCAGTGTGGTGTACAATATGTAAAGCAATAATATATCAATATATAATAGTATATAGCAATCTTATCCCCAATGCATACATAAACTTCATACAAAACATTGCCATATTACCATGTACCAAAATAACAGAAATATCACATATAATATTGTTTATATTCACATTCTAACATATTACTTATCCAAGCCCACTGTGGCTTAATAGCATACTTTAACAAGGCTATATTGTAATTAAAGATGTAACTATATAGCTGCCTAGCGAATACTGGACTAACACATTCAAACTGCATTTAATTACTGACAAAGGCAACAAGACATAAGAATCACTTTAAATCACTTAAACTAAACAGCAATGATCGTTTACAAAATTATTTGTAAACCCTGTGTGTGTGGACTAATTCATACTTGTCAACATAACCACATAAACGAGTGTCGGAGCTCAAGATGCCACGCTACATGAACATGGACCCAACCGTTCAGAGCAGCCCACCCCAGCCAGCTGCCCTTATCAACTGCAAACGTTCTATTTACAATTTTATTGTTCAATTATAAACAACACTACAATCAGTTATCAAACAGACATTAAGAAAAAGGGTAATACTCCAGCAAGTTAAGATGGACAGTTTACCCATTACTGACCCGAAAGGCAGATGAAATAAAAGGAGACTCAGCCACAGCAGCTTTCTATGTATTCTCCCAAGAGCTAGCGGAGCTCCGTTCCCATAGCAACCGGAACATATCTGCTTGTGCCACATATTGTAGCGACAGTGTAAATATATATACATAGATTTCATATTTATTTAATAATAAACAGACAAGCAATGTGGTCACCTGTTTTGGGTGCGCCACACATGCGTTATTGAGGAAGTACATCCCCGCCCCACATTCTAACCAAATAGTTTTATTCATCCACAGACAGCCAGCTCCCTGTGCAGGCTGATATTAACATTTCTTAGTGCTTTAATGGTGCTTTAAACTTTAGATGTTTTCATCAGAGATATGATCTTTATCTTTTTTAGATAAAGTATTAGGCAATGTTAAGATGCTTTTTGCTTTCCTGAGATGATCTAATTTGGTAAGGCCTGATATAAGGCATTTGCACTCTCTCTCTCTATATATATATATATATCGATATATAGATATATCTACATATACTGTACATAGATAGATATATCAATATATATATAGATATATATATATATATATATATAAATCACGATTAATCAATTAGTAGAATAATCAGCAACTAATTTATTTATTGATTAACCATTAACTGGAGTATAGAGACTCTAAAATGTGCCTTTAGGTGACAGAACAACCAACTTAGAGCAGTAATTATACCAAAATTGTAAAACAAAAACAAAAAAAAGTAAATATTTTAGCCTTTAAGAGAAAAAAAATAAATAAAAAATGACCCATCAATATGCTCTGTCCAGAACTCCTGAAGTGGAAAAGCTTTAGCTGGGTTTATTTTGTAATAAGTCTGCTTTAAGATTTAACCAGAATATGCATACAAGCAGTGAATATGAATCCATATAGTATATACATGGGTTTAAACTTGTAAGAATTTTCATTGCCCACCACACCATTATTGAGTTGAAAAACATACTGAATGTTCCTGTCTGATTGTTTCGTACTGATAACTTTTAAGTACTGTGGCCTTGTATGTCATCAACCAAAACATAACATGCCTGTTTAACCAGTGGGCTTTTTTAAACATATTTGAGAAGAATTGTAATAAAGCATCTTTACAAGATCAGTAAAAGTGGGCAAACATTTGTTTTTGTTTTTTGTATAAGAAAATGGCTACACAGAACATTTAAAACAGCTTCACTGCAACACTCATATACTACTCTTCATATAATACTTTTATGATAATATGATTTAGACCTAGTGACACACTTAGCCTATTAAAAAAAGTGTCACTACGGCAGATGTCCACACATGACTGAAATGATAAAGATCAACATCCTAAAGGTAACTGAATGTTTGAAGAAATGAATTGACAGAGGAGACCAAAGGAGCAGATTTCTCATTCATGATCTACCAGTTAAATTATTTTCTTAGATCATGGGCCTCCAGTTACTATCCAAGACTTTAAACGCTCGTGCTTTAAATAAGATTGATGAGATATTAAAATAAGTTGAACCACCAGTACCATCCTCCCAGAAGTGATCAGAAATGTAAAACACTCTTTAGAACAGGGGTGCCCAACCTTTTTTAACCAAGATCTACTTTTGAAGTTGATGGCATGCCGAGATCTACCAAGCAAAACACAAGGGATGGGCAGTATTTGTTTTTTATTTGCACAGGTGGAGAATAAACAGTAAGCCCAACAAACGAGGAAATTATCAATTGTGTCAAAAAATAGGTTGCAAAAACAGAACTTAACAATCTCATGAGACCTTCACACCATATCTCACTCTCACTCTCACTCAGACACACCAAAACTACAGAAAAGAGCAGTCAAGATCTCCAGAAAAAGGCTGTGCAGTCAAAAAATTTAAATAAACGAATTGATACACACACACAGTTCAGTAGAGATGGAAAAAAACGTTAGAACTGTAAATTTACAGTCATATGTTTATATCACTGTTTATATATATATATATATATATATATATATATAACTAAATTTCTTTTTATTTTACACTTGTGTAAACAAAATGACAAATAAAATTATCTTAGTCTTAGATCACTTCAAACCAGGAAGAAGGAGAAGGGAAGTCCACTATTTCAGAATGATAAACTTTACTGGGCATTGGCATTGGCAGAGAAACTGGCAGATGGATTAAAATTCAACAGGAAAACAGATAAAAATAGGAAAATACTAAGTACAAACTATGTGGATGTGAAGATGTAACATACAGCAGAATGAGTTGTTGACTGTTTCAGAAACTCTTTAATTTCAGGCAAAAGTTCCAACAATCTTTTGAGGAATCTGCCACAACTCAGCCACCTGATGTCTGTGTGCAGCAGCAGATCAGTGTGGTCTGCACCTGCCTCGAGCTGTGCACGGAATAAACGCCTCTGAAAACTCCTGGCCCGATAAGAGCAAGCGATCTTCATCGCAACGTCCATGACATGCTTCATATTTAAAATATTGCCGCACAGCTGTTCTGTTCTGATTAGTGTTTTTTAAAACTTTTCTTTGTCATAGCCATAAATAGGTCTACATTGTAAAACTTCTCGCGTGTGAAAAAACAAACAAGCTGATTTTTTTTATGGTCAAAGAGTACAGATATTAAGTATAAATATCTAAACTTTAAAGACAATAAATCAAGTATTAAATAAACACTAAGTATATATGTGCAGCCATTTTTAACCCAACATTAACTGGATGTTTCTTCTGCATTTAAATAGAAAATAAATCCAATGAAAATATAAACAATGTGAATAGAAATCAGGATCTGCTAAATAAAGAATATCCAATGCAGATATGACAGTTTTTAAATTTGTGTTATTTCTTTTTTTTATAGCTCAAAATTAATTCTGCATTTGTATTTTTACTTTTAGTCTTCCACTGTACATGATTAGGTATTCGAACTTGGAAAAATAAAGTCCCTGAATCTTTTATAAAGTTTTCCTCAAGCCACTTAGGAAAGCCAGCAAACATGCGGCAGAAGAGACTCTGATCAGAATAGAGCAAAACTGATTTCAAAACAAGCCTCCATCTGATAGCTGAGGCTGCCCTACACGGAAAACCTGGTAGCGTGCCACACTTTTCAGATATTTTTGTCCAAATCAGAAACAAAAAACTAATTGAGGCTAAAATCTTGTCTAGTGAAATGAAAAAATGGGGAGAACGGTATTTTTTGGTTTAGATTTATCTTTAACTGCTGTTGTTTACACTTCAGGGTCAACAGAGCCACAGGTTGGTAATCTTCTTTGCCGTCTTCATCCTGACAACACTCCTCATCCTCTATGGCTCTAACAACAGCAATGATGGGTCCTACATCCCCTTCAACGTAGCCCTCATTCGCGCCACCAAGACTACAGACCTGAAGAAGTGGTCTGGGAGAGATGGCTACATGCCACTTTACGGTAACAAAGTAAGCTGCCCAACACAACTGCTGGGATTTTAAAAGATAGTGATAGAATCAATGGATACATTCACATCTCTGTATGTGAAATGGGAGCAAAAGACATTTTTATCAGCTCTAGCCAAACTACCAATGAATTAGCAAAAACCAACGGATTAGATCGTCTTATGTATATCTAATAAAAGGTTTGTGTTTTATGTGTCTCTCAGAGTATGACCCTCCACTGTCATAACTGTGCGCTGGTGACAAGCTCCAGTCACGTCCTTGGTAGCCAGGCGGGGAGCGAGGTGGACCAAACAGAGTGTGTGATCCGCATGAACGACGCTCCCACGTCCGGTTACGAGTCCGACGTCGGCAACCGGACCACTGTCAGGGTCGTGGCCCACGCCAGTGTCTTCAGGGTGATAAAGAGGCCTAATGAGTATCTGCAGCGTACGGACAGCAACTCCACCATCATCTTCTGGGGTCCACCGAATAAGATCGGGAAGGATGCGAAGGGAACCTTGTTCAGACTACTCCAGAGGGTCAGCATGACTTACAGCAACCTGTCGTTCTTCAGTATTTCACCCAACAAAATGCGAAAATTCGACAACCTGTTTACTAGAGAGACAGGGCGGGACAGGTGAGTATGGTGGGACAGCCTGTTCTATGGTGTCTCTTGTAATGACTGACTCTTTTTGTTTTCCTTCCTTCTAAGACAAAAGTCTCACTCTTGGTTGAGCACTGGCTGGTTCACCATGGTCATAGCCATTGAGATGTGTGATAATATTAAAGTATATGGGATGGTCCCACCAAATTACTGCGGGTGAGTATAAAGATTGCACATACTGAATATTAACCTTTTTTTATGTTCTACATTAGATTAAAAATGTTACCGTCTTTACCAGCCTTTATTTATAGTATACAAAACTATTGTTTTTTTTAAAGCCAGCCTGTAGTCTGAACGCTACTTGTCTCTTAATCCTTTTAGCTTTTTTTTTTTTTTTTGCTCTGCCATGCTTAATTTTAGATGTTTCCTTACTTTTCACCCCATCCATCAGGGAAATGCTTACTTTCTTGGCTTCATTTTGTTCTTATTTGCTAACTCTGCGCATATCAGCCATGTATACTTGTTATGGTAAATAAGTATACATGTATTAAACTAAAAACAAGTGTAGACAAAACATAAAAAGACAACAGGGTGCCAGAATCTAATTGGAGAGCCATTGTTTGCAATCAGAGTGAGCTATGTGAAAGGACCCTCTTACATTTTTAGTTTTGAACACCTTAATGAAGCCAAAGATCGTCCCTAAGAGAATGGGAGGTTTGTAGCGGAACATGGTGGTGCGTGAAGTGTCTAATAGTTTAGTTTACCAGCCAGTTTCTAGGGATTATTATTGATCAAAACTGATAAGCAAGTCGTTCCCCATTGAACTATCACCTAATGGTACTATTATTGTTATAATTCCAGGAAAAAAACAGCTTCCAAGAAGATGCCCTATCACTACTACAAACCCAGGGGGTCTGATGAATGTCTAATGTACATCCAGAATGAAAGCGGTCGTAGGGGGAATCACCACCGCTTCATCACAGAGAAGCAGGTGTTTGCTCGCTGGGCCAAGCAGTACAACATCACTTTCACTAACCCCAAATGGTGAGAGAGCGGACAGAAAGCTTAAAGACAAGCACCATGGATTCACGTTAATTATATCTCAAAATGAAAAGACAGAAATGCTTTCTTCCAGTGACAACGGGGTGGAAGTATATGGAAAATCTTCATCTGGACTATATGATAAGGAAGGTGTGTGGAAATGTTTCTGAAGTTATTATACTTGAGTTCTGTCCAGTTTACACATTAAGGGTGTGGATGTGTTATGTAAGGGTTTTATTTGAGATGGGGGGATTTTTCCCCAGGTTGAAGTGATTTTTACAACAGCTTTCAAGTTTTTTTGGAAGGAAATGTTTAGGTGCCCAGGTTTTAATGTTAGCTAAATTTGCCCTAATCCACATACGGTCAAACAATTGTACATAAAAGCATTTGTAACTGTTATAATATTGCCTGGAAAAGTGGATTCTCTATTTAATTAAAATTGATTAGGTCCCTTCTAATTACAGTTAAGCAGGTTTGCTATTCTATTTGATCATGTTTTTATTTTTTTACATGGTATTTAGGGCAAGACGAGAAACTAAAACTTTTTGTTTTAGAAAAAAGAGATAGGTTATGTTGTAATATTTAAGACCATGTTAAAAGAAAAATCAAACTCTGAATAGATTTCCATAATCTTAACCAAACATGGATTTAAAAAGGAACGCATTTTCCTCTGTCCTTACAGCCTTGATGAGCCATCATTACCATACATCAGCTTGTATCAATATGTTTCGTAAATACTCAGCCATGTAATCCAGGCACAAGCTTAAACAATGATTTTTAATACTGACAATCCAATTTGAGATTGGAAGAAATTGATTCTAAAGGTTGCTAATCAGAACTGAATCATCACACATTTCCAGTTAATTTTATTCCAACCTGGGAAAAAACTGTCAAATAAAAGCCCAAAATAAATCATGCCAATTATGTGTGCAATTGTCCTCACATAGTGGATGCTGACTTGAGTCTTGCACATAGAAAGACTTCACCTGAAGGTTTTTCCTCTACATTTGTATTATGTACTTGAATGTTTTGTTTTGTTCCATGTTGGATTACATTATCAAGTGTCTTATCAAAATATACTTTTGGTAGTTATCAATCCCCTACAGAGAGATCATATTCTAGAACAGCAGGTTTTTTATTTCAGCCTACAGGTCATAGTGAGGCCTTATGAAGGAGGATGTGGCCCACTGCAGCATTTTAAACCTGGACAGCAGGATTAATCTGCAGTTTAAAAAACTAGCTAATCAGCTTGAATACTTCCCACAATGGAGCACTAATGCATCTGCTGAAACTAAGTGTGCACGTATTAGAGCTGCAAACAGAATACACCTCACCCAGATTTATTTAAGTGCTTTAACAGATTTTAACAAATCAAAAGGTTTAGCTGAAGGAATGCATTTTCTAACCATATTGCCTTTTGATGTAACTTGGGTTCATCCTTTCAGTTTTATTTTTGGAGATCCAGCCGTTCACTGCTGGAAATCATTGATGTGATTAATCTTTTTTTTTGTCTGCTATCATTTATCAAAAATCCAATGCCCACGTTTTCTATGAAGATGAGAAAAAATTTTAATAACAGAACTGAGGACTGAATAAGTTCAACATCTAAAGCAGAAGAGAGACATTTCATGTATGTGGCTGTTAAAGAGCAGCATTTCCAACCACTGTAAATGATGTTTGTACAAAGGAGATTATATCCATAATAAAAGGATGTGGTGCATAATATTCTAGCTTCTCCTGCCTGCACCTAAGTTTAAGTGTTCTCTTCTTTCTTGACAAATGGTTTCCATTACAGATCACCTCCAAACCGTAAGTTTCATTCCAAACTGAAAACAAATCAATTCAATAATTGACAGTAATTTGCTGTCGGATGCCTTGCAAAAGTGTTCAAACTCTTGAGTTTATCAACCCTTAGTGTGGAGTTTTATGTGATTAATACGAAGTAGCTGTTGATTGTGAAACAGAAGGAAAATAAAATCTATCAATTCCTTTGTAATTTATTCATCCTGAGAATAACCTGAAAGGTGATTCTCTGCTTGTCTTTTATACCTTCAGTTTCCTCTCTGATTTGCTGCATATTTACTCCACCTTCATCTTTCCATCAATTTAGATTGAACTACATAAGACCTCAATGCAAATTAAAGATACTTTTCAAGTTATTTGCAAGAACTTAAAATCATTCCTTCTACACCATTATGCCCTATTCTCTTTTTTGTTTATAGCACAAAATATATAAAGATCAGCCGTTTCATAATTAAATAAAATGTACAAGGAGTATGAGAGCTTTAGCCAGGCAGAATGAAAAGCTAATGGCTCACCTTTGAAGCTGATATTTAATACTTTTATTAAATATCTTATTTTAATACAGTTCATCAGAACAATGTTTTTCCAGAGACAGATGACATGATAAATCTAACAGGTTCATTTGTATTCAAATATGTACAATGACTTCAGACACTAAAATGAGAATGTATAAAAGGGACAAAAATATTTTACTGACAACTTATTGAGTTAATGGATATTTACAGGTCATTCTCAAACATTTATAGGTCTAATTATTAAACTGCTTACTGACTTTTTCTTTAACTACTGGAAATATCAGAAAAAGCAGCCGTGATCTTCGGCCTCAGCGCCGCCATGGAGATCAGTATGGCCTCCTGTTAACAAAAGGAATGAGGGATTTATCACAGTGGGCAAAACTTTCAAATCATAAATCATCATCTTACCTCAGTTCTGATGGTCCTGCTGCCTTGACTGGGACACGTATTAAGGTAGAGATCAAATAAGATGCAGGGGTCGCTCACATCTAGGTTCTGGTCTGCATCCAGGCTGGCTTCCAAACCCTGGAGACCTCCAAAAACCACCAAAAGGTGCCTAAAGAGTGGACACATTAAACTGGTAGCAAAAACCTTGGCTATAAGCTTCTCTTCAGATGCTTGATGCCTCAGGTTGCATGCAAGCATGGAGACTTTAAGGCACTTTGCTGCCTGACACCAGGACCTAATCGTTTAATGAGCTTTCATTCAACCTACTTGAATGGTGAGAGCGTGACTTGGTCCACGCTGCTGCCTCTCTCTGAGGTGCCAACAGTCAGGTCATACCCTTCCTTAAATGGACTCTCTGTGAAAACCGTACCTGCATCAGCAGAAACAACCAGCTGTGAGTTTTTTTTCCAATATTTTGGAGTTGCATGGCAACGAGGCAGAAAACTGTACACGTACTCAGACATGATGCCAGGCGGACTGTGTACCCCCAGTACAGACCACCCTCTGTTCTGGGCACATGAGGAGCCACGACGACGCCTTTATATAGTCTGCTGTCTGGACACACACACATAGAAACACGTTCTACAGGATGCGTTTTCCTGCAGTGGATGAATCATGCACAGCAGACACCAAGAGGAGAAAACTACCTTGATTCTGTGTCTTATTGAGCTTCACTGTAACTCGTAGATCCGGCTGCAGTTGTTTATCTATCCGGACGTCCTGGTGATTGGATTTAAACACTGTCAATTTTGTTTGATCTAACAAGTTCAGAACAGACTAAAAATAGTGGCGCTATAGTCACCTTCCTCATTCCACAATTCACCACTGAGCCCTTTCCTTGTTTGGGAGGCTTGTTGAGGACCCTTCCTTCCCGGTAATCAGACTCTTCATCCATCCTCATGTGATGAGGACTGTCTAGAGGATTGAGCAAACCTGGCAGAAAATAAAATAAACTAACTTGAAACTGCTTTCCTTTCACTTTCATGACATAAAAACCTTTATATGTGACTGAAAAAGTTGCTTCTAGAGCAGATTTCATCACTAGTATATCAGAGGTTTAACAAACAAAAAAAGAACAGCTAATCTGATAAAGACACCATCTCTCCTCCTTAATATGATTATTTTACATTAAGACTGGGTAATATGACCTCAAATCAATATCATGATAAATTGGGCAGTTTTACCTCAATGATAAATGCACGATAAACACTCTGGCTTTCTATCAGAAATAAAGGCATGTACAGGAAATGCGACTGATCTCTTTACAGTTTATTAATCGAGTCTTGTATCCATTCAGGTTTAAAGATTCAACAATGTCTCATTAAACAGTAAAAATGTTACCTCTTGCAAAATATTTTTTTTGCAAAGGTAATGGAGCCTTTTGTACATCTTTGAACTCAACAGCTTGGTTGTACTGTAGGTGGTGGAGGTTGGATGCGTTACTTTAGGTCAGTGGTCTCCAACCCTGGTCCTCAAGATCTACTATCCTACAGATTTTAGATGCATCCTTGCTTCAACACAGCTGAATCAAATGATTGATTACCTTTTCAAGCCATTCATTTGATTCAGCTGTGTTGAAGCAGGGATGCATCTAAAATCTGTAGGACAGTAGATCTTGAGGACCAGGGTTGGAGACCACTGCTTTAGGTAGTCTCGACAGTTTTCAGACAAACTTTGCATTTCGTGTTTTTTTTAATTCAGTTCAATTCAGTTTATTTATATAGCGCCAATTCACAACACGTCACCTCAAGGCACTTTATAATTCACCCGGATAATACAATCAAATTGTTTCAAAAGTTTTATATATGAGGAAAACCAGTTGATTGCATCGACTCATTGACTCAAAGGCAATCCCTCTCACTAAGCATGCTTGTAGCGACAGTGGAGAGGAAAAACTCCCTTTTAACAGGAATCACGACATACAGAAAGAAGCAGAGATAAAATAGGTAGATGTAAAACAGCTTCAGAGGCGGCCCTGTCCAGGAAACACACAGCCAGGAAGACGAGCTCTGATCCAGCTCCCACGTCAGAGGATGCTCAACGTCTATGCCGTAATTTTGGTGCCACCAAACTGAGAGTGCAGTGAGAACAATGTGCATCATTTAAACTTGCACACCTTCAAACAAAACTGGTCTGCTGCTCTTGACTTCTTCTCTGCACGCTCAGCTTTATCTCTGCTGTCGTTTGGGTCCACATGATTAACTGATGCAATTTATTTTACAGCTGCTAGACGCTTCTTCCCCGGGCTCATCTACTATTCTCTTTGTTTACGCTTCTGACTGGATTGGTGAGGTTACATGATTGCACACATGGTGCAGTGTCTTAAAGGGGAAGGAGATACCTGCCACCAGCGCACACAGAAAAAGCAGCAGATTTAAGTTTATTTCTATTAGAATTGTCGCCGGTCATCGTGGTGAATAAAAATCCAGTTCATCGCCCAGGCCTATTTTAAATTCTAGACATTAGAAAGAAATGTAAATTCTATACAAGTGTGGAACAATATTGGATTTCTAGACTTTACTAATGTGTAACTACTCTTATCACTCCATTTCTACATCAATTTTTCATTATATTATCTCTTCTTTAATCCATTCAGACATATCCAAAGGCTGGGCAACATGGATTTAAAAACCTTATCTCCAACCTATTTCCTAGCAAAATCAACAGATTCTTTTTCTCCCTTAAATCTGATAAAAAGATAAATTACATAAATTAATAAACAAAAAAGACATTTTATCTTAATAATCCCATTCAGGAGGTGTCCTTAATTGAACAGGCAATGCAATCCCATCTGTGATAATGTTTGTTGAACAATGTTTCACAACAAACAACAAAAATATAACGAACTAAGAACTTAGCCAACCTGAAATTTCAACATGAAAAATATGCAGGAGCTACAGAAGGTTTAAAACTATAAAGAACCTGATGGCTTAAAAGAACAACAAAGAACTTCATTGGAGCACTGGTATTTATCTGGTTACTGGTTTTATAACTATCCTAAGGTTCTGAAGACTTTTTTTGTATATCATATTTCTGTAAAAAAAAATCAAAGTGCTCTTAAAGAACAGCAGGAAACATTGTGTATAAATCAGTAAAAATTACCACGGCTTTAAAATTACCTGCATATTGTAAATCTTTGTGCATCGGGAAAAACCACTTGCGCAGATACCTGGTGGAGAGCAGAAGCTCAGAGTGACAAGCTGAAGTGCTGGACAGCGACTGTAAAGATGATGATCTGATGATGCTTACTGCGGACACTCCATGTACTGAAGTATTCTGGCGAGCTGGATACACGCATGACCCCTCTTTCCCACACCTTTAAATTCTCCTTCAACGCTCCTGAAATAAAAAAAAAAACATCAAGACAAAAACAAAACAAAATCAGCCAAAACTCAGTTTAAATATTTAGCATCAAGCTTTTTTTTCCCTCACCACTTACTTGACATCTTCCCCTTGCTCGTCGAATACGACTATTTCATCCACATTGAAGACGACGCAGGCTCGGGCGATCTGTCCCGCTAGGTATGTTCTGAGCTCAGGAGACTGAGCGTTGTCCAGGACGGAGCCCGGCAGGGCAACACTGACCGTGTAAGCTCGACCTGAACACAGGCGACCATCTTAGCTAACCTGAGCTAACAACAGCTCCAGCAGACCATCAGTAAATGATGACAGTTACCTTTCTTACTCTGGCTTTCCTCCTGTTGGGCTCTCTCTGCATCCTCTCGCTGTTTCTGCTTCTCCAACTGTTTGATGAGTTTAGCCTTTTTCCACTGCTTACGTTTCTCTTTTACTGTAAAGAAAATATACATTTATGACCACTGATATGAATGCTGACATTTTAAATTAAGCTTCACTGATTGCAGTTTGTGCATCAGATTCACTTTTCTCATCTCCTTTCACACATATTTAGGTAGGAATATCAGAAATTTATTTTATACTTGCTGGAACAAATGGTAACTCCTCAAGCAGATGTGTTTCTAACTTAATTATAATCATTTTAATAATAAATATTGTATATGAATGTTCTTAAAGTAAAATGGAAGACTTAAACAGCCATTTATGCCTAAACTGTATGCTCTTTCTAATCACAATGTACTCTTGTGTTCTCAACAATAGGAAAGCATTCAATAAATATATGTTTGAGCTCATTTTTGGAAAATATAAACCTTATTGAAAGCGTTCGAGTTGAGTAGCTGTAGGTCCATCAGCCAACACCCTTAGAGCGTCCCCACCAACTTTTATCACCCTTGCATCAAATAGCTCTCAGCTCACACGCTGTTGGTATCTATCTGTAGGGCTTAGTTGGGTTTAAATGTGTTGGGTTTATACAATGATATTTTACCTCACTATGTTTCACCAATGTTGTTGTAATCCAGATTACCCAAATCCTCAGTCATTAATAGGTGTACCCATATATTCCAAGACTAGTAAAACCTGTGGCCAGAGGACACGCAGCTGTTAGCTTAGTTAGCTTCTACTCACTTTCTGCTTTCCTTTTCTTCCAAGGAATCTGATCCCCGCTCTGAAATAACGAATAGATGCATTAAGAAATAAAAAAAATAATACAGAAACACACACATAGATGCGTTTTATTATACTAGAGTAGCACCTGAGAAGACGCAGGTTTAGGTTTTGTCGCTGCACTGTCGGACGACATTTTTCCAGAAACCAACACGTGGGTTTATTTACTTCCGCGTTCTTCTTTTTTTTATGGCAGTTGGCAAGCAACTTATTGATGCGCATTACCGCCATCTACTGGAATGGAGTGTGGAACGGGATGCCCTCAGGGCCACAAAACAAAAATAAATAAATGAAATGAAAAATTATAATAATAAAGTTAATAAATCTTATATTATATTTATATTCTTAAGGTAATTCAAAAAAAAAAAAAACATTTAGAAGTAGAAAGTTTGGCCATAAGGATATTTAATTGCAATTTATTTTCTTGTAATCAACTAGCAAGAACAGAATATTTAGAACAGACTAAGAAAACATGTTTTATTGTCTCTTCTTGAAAGCAAAAATCACAACTTCCTGTTGGATGTTTTCCCATTTTAAATAATATACTATTTAACCTTGTATGATCAAAACGTAATCTGGATATAATGGTTTCCTCTTTTCTATTTCTTCCTGTTCTCCTCATTCTAGCAACTTTTCTTTGAATACTGTAAAGCCCCCTTCCAGTTCTATCAATATTAAAATACTTTCAATTGAAAAAAACAAAATCTTTGATTTTTTAAGATGAAGTCAGTAAACGGTGTAAGCATATAACATTAAAATGTAGATGAAAATGTTAATGAGGGTGCTTATTAGGATTTATTGACATATTCTAAGTACGGTGAACTAATAGTCAATTTGAATTTCATTTTATTTAGATAACTTAAATGATAACCGAGAGGAACAGGGTGACAGAGCAATAAAATAAAACAAGTATGAGATGAAAATGGTGTCACCTGTCTGAAACCTTTCATTCTGTTCCATAATTCTTCATTATTTGATAAGGAAGAGCAAAAGATCAAATATTATTTTGGTAGCTGCATTATGTTGATAGGTGCGCTTATAAACAGTTTATATTTTTGTTTCATTTTTGAAAAGCATATATCTGTATAGTTGAATGTGAATTCACACTACATGTGTAGGTTATATCATTAAAACCCTATAAAAACCCTTTGTATAGTAATATCCACCTGTATATTATATTCAGTACATATCCAGCTGTAAATTTAGTTCATAACACTAGTGATCTATATATTATATTCATTATTTATAATGGTGTTCATCTCTATACTCATTCAGTAGAAACCAATGTCCTATATTTATGGAACCATTATTTATCCTGCACTTGCTGCTATTGCAATTCTGGTTAGACCTAAACTGCATTTCGTTGCCTTGTACCTGTACCTGTGTAATGACAATAAAGTTGAATCTAATCTAAGCTAATCTAATCTAATCTAATCTAATCGATCATTGGATAGTGTGTTTTGTGTTTGTACATACTTGTACATAAAGTATATGCAAATTATCAGATTTATGTTGTAACTATGAACAAAAAGCAAAATATGAATTTTATGTTGCCTCTTATTTTGCCAATTTATGTGATTTTGCTAGAGTAGAAACATCTGTGGAGTTATTAAATTGGTTCAATAACCTAGTTCTATTGTAAATCTATGTCAGATCTAAAGACTTATGCACAGACACAGCATAAAAGTATATTGAATCATAGATGCACAATTTATAAAAAGGAAAATACTATAGCATCAACAGACATGTACTTATAATTCAGCCTTGATGTAAAATCTTGAAATTATATGTAATATGTAATTATCATAGCAATGTAATTGATACAGGTATATTACATGTAAATCATCAATTTAGCACTTTTGGCACATCTGTATTATTATGCTCTATTAACACATTGATTTTGTTGTGATGGATTTTTATAATGTTATATTACATGATTTAGAGACTTCATAATGACTATGTAATGTGATGTGCCTATTTTTTTATCATTATTATCAATTTACAGTAATCTTCTTATGCTATGAATCAATAAATGTGTGTCAAAGTGATGAATTTATCTTTATTTCAAAAGTCTTAAGCCTCCCTGAAAATGAGAATATCATCGTTGTTCAATGGTGTAGCGCACATATTGTTTACATTGCGACTGGTCTAATAAGGGAATACCAATATGGCAGCCGGTGACCTCACTCCACCCTGTACTACCAACAGGCTATCAGCAATAAATAGAGATGAGTGGCGCAGATGTACTGATGTTGCTGCACCCATCAGTACTACGTCAAAAGAAAGTCGTTAAAGAGATAGTCCTCAATGGTTGGTTTCATGCATGTTTCTCTTCTTTCTCCGACTTATTTATAACCATTCAATGTGGCCATAAATGTAATTTAGTTTGTTTTTATCATCTTGGATCGATTAAATCTTACCATGTTTAGAAGTAAAAACTGAATTTTTAAGATATTAGAGACAACTTTATTTTGATTTGGTACACAAAAAAACAAACAAAACAGAACTCCTAAACAAGATGTGCAATGTCTACAAAATTCAAAAAAAGAAAAAAAAAATCATCTAGTTCAATACTGTGAAAGCACTGTCAGTAGTGTAACGTTCTGAAACTTTAAATTAGTATTTAACATCATTTCAAAAACCGAAAAGGAAAAAAAAACAACAACAAAAAAGGCAGAACATAGGGAGAATCTCCGTAAGGAACTAGTCTTTGAGGTACTTCATTAAATCAAAAAACATCAAGTCTCCTTGGCTCCATCTCTTCACATAACATTTCATCATTTCGTGTCTGATGAGAAAGTTAATTCACAAAAACAATGAGGACATTTTCAGGAACCGACAACAGGTTACAGGACCACATGTTTGCAAAAAGCCTTTTAAAACTTTCTGCGTATTTTTAGGCCAGAGGAGTGGATAGTCTAACGTTTGTCTAAGGAGAAACAAAAAAATTGATGATTCCTTTGTCTTTTTACCTATAATGCTTTCTAATTTTATTTATAATAATTTTATGATAGGGGTCTTCTTTATTATTCTTTTTGACTCCACTTTCTTAAGATCTCCTCTGCTGCTTCCAGTGTGGAGTTTTCCTGTTGGCAAAAAGAAAAAAAAATGTAGGCAGATTGGCATATGAGGAAAAAAAGATCATCAGCTACGATCAAAGCGGCTTTCTTTACCTTAACAAAACAGAAACGGATGTATTTGTCAAACTCCTTGCTGTGTTCTGGACTGAAGAAAGCAGAAACTGGGATTGTCGCTAAGCCCTTGATAAAAACAAATTAAAGAAAGTTGCCGAAAATGCTGAAAAACCCCCAGAAGATTTGCATTTCTAAATATCTGCTAGAATTTACCTTTTCTTTAATCAACCATTTGACAAATCTAAAATCATAGCTTTCATTCTTGGTGCTCTCATCATTTAGATCCACCTCTATTAAGAAAAATGAAAAAGCTCAGGTAAACATTTATGACAAACCCATGCAGTATGCAGAGCATATTGCTTAGATGCTGATTCATCACTCACTTATAGAGGAGATGTCTGTGATCATAAAGTATCCTCCCTCTGGCATGATGGGTTGCAGGCCCACGCTCTGCAGACACGAGGCCAGCTTCTGCCTCTTCTGGTGCAGCATGGCAGGCAGCTGCTGGAAGTAGCTCTCCGGAGACCCAAACAGCTCGTACTCTCTGTCGAATCCCTGAGACACGGCTTCCTATTGCATCAACAGGATCAGGGAGACATCCTTTAACCCTCTCAGGCTCAAATTAAATTGTAGTTGCAGGAAAATATACAATTCAGACTTTTTTTTTTCAGAGAGACCTTCACATGCAATGAATTCTGGGATGTTGCAGATTTGCAACAGTGGCCCGGAGTGGTAAACTAACACTGAAGACTGAATCTGATATGAACGTTAACTTTATTTGAATGTCACAAACAAAAAATGAACAAAACAAAATTAAAAAAAAAAAAACTTTTCTCTCACAAAATTAGAGATAATTTTTTCTCAAACTTTTTCTCCTCCAACATCTCAAAACCTCTTGAAAAGGCGGTTTCTGTTAAACTGTTGCTCAAAATATAGGCAAACTAGTAGCTAAAGTATATAGCATCCATTGGTACTTGTTTGGGCGCACGTTGCGAATCCACAACATTGAAATCGAGATGCCTCTGGTGAAAAACCCAGAGGAGATAAAATCTACTAATTGGCATGTGTCATATCTATACACATTCATGATTCATCTTATGTAGTATTGATTTCAAATAATGGAAATTGGTGGTGATACTAACATGAAATTGGTGCTTAGAAAATCTGTTTCAGTGACACCAAGGACTCAGCAATGTTGAAGTGAGTCAGCAGTGCCATCTCGTGAGCTGGAGAGAAACTGTTTGTTGCAAATGCACAACTAAGTCCTTCTGTAGTACTTCTGAGTAACAACAGCTCTTAAAATATGGAAGCGGAGTAATTAGTAAAGTAGCTTTTAGCTGTTGCAAATCTGCAACATCTGCCTGGTGAGGGTACTTTATTTCAGGCTGCAGTAGAGATAAACATTTTGGCATTGTAGGTTAAATCCATGTTTCTTTTTTAGAAAGTCATTATGAATGAGAAATACTCAAATCCTGATTATACAGATGAATTCAAAATGATTCATGGCCGGGTGAGATTTGGTGGTTTGAGGTTTTAATAAAGTTGATTCTCATGAGAAAAGAAACAGACCTTTTTTAACAGTTGATGAAACAATGCAACAGTTTATTAACCTCTGTACTGTTCTGTAGTTCCCATCTGGAGTCCGAAAACATCCGTGTTAGATTGATGGTTCCTCTATATTCAGCCTTAATCTTTAGCTCCATAGATTCTCTATTGGATGTTTTTGGCTAAGAAAGTCCAAAATGCTTCACTATTTCATTCTAGTTTAGGAATAACTAAATAAATGTTATTTAAATGTATTCTTCAAAATGAATTAAAAGAGTCTCTAATTATTCTATTATTGAGTTCAGAAAGCACAATTACAGGTGCTGGTCATAAAATTAGAATATCATGAAAAAGTAGATTGATTTCAGTAATTCCATTTAAAAAGTGAAACTTGTATATTATATTNTGGTACTTGTTTGGGCGCACGTTGCGAATCCACAACATTGAAATCGAGATGCCTCTGGTGAAAAACCCAGAGGAGATAAAATCTACTAATTGGCACGTGTTTTTGGCTAAGAAAGTCCAAAATGCTTCACTATTTCCTTCTAGTTTAGGAATAACTAAATAAATGTTATTTAAATGTATTCTTCAAAATGCATTAAACGAGTCGCTAATTATTATATTATTAAGTTTAGAAAGTACAGTTATATTAAAATATACCTGATCTATAATCAGGTTTCAGCTCCTTCAGTGAACATTTAGATTCCCAATTAGGAATCAATAAAAGATACATGAACAATAAGAACACTATTGTGTTTTTGCTATTTTAAGGCTTCTAAAGAATTTTCCTAATGGAAAACAATAATTAGAAAACAATAACTTTGATCAAACTTTAACATGATGGCATATTTATGTAAACAACTTAAGAGCATTACAGGATTTTAAATTTATTTACACTAAATTTGATAAGAACTGAAAGAAATTTTTTATTATCTCACAAAATAGGGGGTATTTTTGACACTTGGGTGAAAATCTAAAATTAAAGGTATAGTGGTGGATGTGCTTTTTATGTGTGATTCATTAAAATAAACGGGTCCCTTATCTGTCAGTCATTCTGGGGATATGTTTATGTACAGTAAGCCCATAATACATGCTCATCCCCATTTTCACTTAACGGTGGTGAGTCTGACGTAGTGGAAAAAATCGCAAATCTTCTTTTAGAAAGTAAGCTTGTATGAGCAATGCAAACAGCAACTTTTAAATAGAGCTTGCATAATGAGAAATAGGCTTGTGCACGTATTTAATAGGCGCTATCAGGGGGAAGGTACAGGATTATGCATTTGTTTTTTTTTTAAGTGGAGAGGGCGGCTCAAAAATTCCTCCACAATACCTTTAAGTAACACAGTTTAGGAGTATTCTTTTTTTTTTATCCTAAGGATTCTTACTTCACTACAATACTTGAACCCCAAACAGAAAACAGAAATCTTTTTTGAACTATTTCAAGCAGCATAACATACCCGAATATTCTTAGCAGTCTGTAGTTAAATTCTGCAGAGGGAACCTTTAAATCAAGTGTCCAGTTCCAATACTTGAAGCACCTCAAAGGGGTAAATTATTTATTCAACATTTAATCATTTTCTGCAGTTGCCTCATGAGATAATATTATTCAAATTGGGTGTGTTAGGTGTAAAACAACTTAAAACATGCGGGACATTTGGCCTCAATAACTGAAATTGTATAATATTCCTTTAAAGTAAGTAGAGACTGCTTTATGTCATCTTTAAGGGCAATATTTATTGATGAAATTACCTGTGCTGCTGTTGCACAGTGATAGACTGAGTTCTGATGGATGATTTTCATGTGTTTGATGAGATTTCCAGAACTCATAGCCCAGCCGACCTAAAACCAGAGACAGTCCTAAATACAAACTAATTAAAATCAGAAACATTGAGAAAATGTAAATGCATCAGGTTTGCTACCTTCCAGCCAGTAGCACTGAAGGTTTTCCCTCCGCTTCCCACTGTTACGGTTCGTTCCCACATCCCAGGGAGGCTGGCTGTGAGGAAAACACGCAGCAGGTGAAAGCCCATTCCATCGCCTTTCTATTCTGGAGAGCCGTGGGTGTTTCTCACCTATCTTTACATGTTTGGCTCCGTCGTAGGTTAACCACTCATAGACCTCGTCACTGAAGCACAGCAGATCATGTTTAATACACAGATCAGCAATCATCTGCAGTTCCTCCACTTTGTAAACCTGGAAAACACACAAACTGGACTTACTCGTTCCTTTTGCTTTCATTTCCCCATTAAAAAAATATTTATTTTTAAAAGAGTTCAATTTCTCTAGCAAACTGGCTCTTGTATAAATCTCTCACCTTTCCTAAAGGGTTGTTGGGGGTGTTGATGACAATGGCTTTGGTGGAAGGAGTGATTTTGCTGACGAGCTCCTCCTCAGACAGAACCCAGTCGCCACTAGACAGGACGGAGCTTCCCTCTCTCTGCATTTAACGACAAAAACAAAACCCCTTTCACGTGTTATAAATGAGAAAAGGGGAACTGAAATGTCAGATCATGAGATTTAACCGCTTACAGGTCTCAGAGGAACATAGACTGCGGTCCCTCCTGCCATTAGAACCATCGGCTGATAACAGTCAAAGAACGGCTCCACAATTATCACCTGAAGGTTAAACATAAAATAACTCTCCAAACCAAGGCACCCAGCATTAGCACTTACGTGTGGGCTTTGACTAAACATTTCTGAATATTTTTAGTCGTTAGAATCATGAAATCATTTTCTTTATAGGATGAGCTACTTTGTGTTGGTCTGTAACCAAAATCCTAATAGAATAAACAGATCTTTTTGATAGCAAATATTACTAAATCTGAAAAAAAAAAATCATGTGATATGAACATATTTTCAGGGAGCAGCACTTTAAAACTCTGTGTAATTTAAGTGTTGAGTAATTCACACAGGAGATCCATGAGTAACTAGAAAAGCACTCAGAGAGTGCAGACTAAACCGCTAATTTTGTCCAAAATTGGGAGTTACACATCAAGCTAAACCTAGCACATGACCTGGGTCATTACCAAACTTTAATGAGTTGTTCCTTGGCATGAGATTAAACTCTAATAAAAAAAATATCCATTAAAATCTGTCCATATCTTTTCAAGTTATCCCGTACACAGGCAGACAGACAGCGAGACACAAACAATCCTAAAAACATAACCTCCTTGGTGGACGTAATAAAAGGTGACATACTTCATCCCCATCATTAATGAGAGCTTGAAATGCACAGAAAAGAGCCTGATAAGCTCCAACTGTGACCAAGATGTCTTCAAAGGGATCGATCTCATGCCCCACAATCCTACTGAAGAATTTAGCCAGACTTTTTACCAGACGAGGATGACCCTGGGGAGGGATAGAAAGTGAAACAGAATTTGAACAAAACTCAGCTTTTCCTTCTCCTTTTAACTTGTGATTCTAAGAGCTGAACGTCTAAGCTTTAATTTTTATAAATCAACAGTCACCATAACTAAGAATCACGCTTACAAAAGCTCTGGTGTACTGGTGCATCTCAGGTCCTCCGCTCACAGCTTTACAGAAAGCATCCTTAACAAACTGCGGAGGGGAGAAGTCGGGGAATCCCTGCCCGAGGTTCACAGCTTTGTAGTCTGCAGCCAGCTGGGTGAATTCCACCCTGTTGATACAGATATCACAAAAATATCAGAAAATGAAGCTCCAAAATTCAAACAAATTATTGGCTATTAATAACTCCGGCATATTACTTTGTAAAGAGGAATATTAACTTTTCATTTAACCGCTAAGATGTCTTCACCATGCAGCGGCAAGAGCAGCTTTACCGCTCTGATAGTGGGAGATGCATTTCTATTTACCACCATGGTCACGTCTTTGTAGTTTAATTTTTTTATATCCTGCAGTGTAGCCTGTTTTTATCTTTATCTATCTTCCTCTTCTCATCACTAAAGAAATGATTCCCACACCATGATAATGCCACCAACATGTTTCAAACTATGGATAGGGTGATGAATTTCTATCACACTTTCTATCACATGCTTCCTGTTTCCTCCAGCTTGCTGCAAACTGGACTAAATTATATTTATTACAAGAATCTTTTAAGACCTCAAACTGTTTTTCCTTTGCTTCACTTTGGTGTTCCCATTTGATTTATTCTGCAACAGTTTTTTTTTTTTTTTTCAGTGACAAACACATTAATGGCGGAGGCTTTTGCATGTCAACGCTTAGAAAAGTTCTGGGTGTGTGAAAACTTTCTGCAAAAAAAGTTGGAGCAATTTATAAAGGTACAAGATGAAACAATGTGCTTTACATTTGATTTGCAAAGATCCCTTTCTACTATTTTTCTAAAAGTAGAAGCATAAACTACACCTAAAGGAAGCAAACTCACTTTTTTTCCCCAAGTATCTATGTTAATAAGTATATCAGGGCTGTCAACTCTCACCCATTGGGAGTGAGACTCACCCATCTCAGTGTCTTCACACACTCTTACTCCATATTCCAAATTTCTCACACTAAAAAATGAGAGACATTAAAACTCAACTCCGTTCCACTTATTTATGTTATATCGTATAGTACTTGAGTAAATATGATTAAAAAATACAGCAGCTAGCTTAAATTATAGATGTGGACACTGAGTGTAGGATCACATCCAATGGTTTGTTTTCTCTTAACCTGCTGCTTCTTTAGTCCCAGTTTTATTCCATGTTTTCTCACAAGTTAAATAATTATTGCTCAGTCTAGTTTAATAATCTCCTATTGGCATTTAGGAGTAATTAAACCAACACAAATATTTTAATTCTTATAGCTTTCAGGTTTGCCTCACAAACCCAAAGGAGCTCCAGAAAAAGAATAATGTCATTTTATTTTTCAAAAGATCAGCCACCCAAGAAAAGACCAACCACATCCAGAGAGAGTAGTGCAGAACAGCTCAGTTATCCTGTTTTCATAGAGGAGAAACCACAGGGATGTTCTTCTTTTATTATTACTTATCTTATTCTTTTGTCTTTATTTTGGTCCATTGAATATGTTTAAAAACTTAATTTGCATCACACCTTCCAAATGAAACATCCAGGGAAGTGCTGTCTCCTGTCATGGTGAGTTTTTTTTTAAATTGTAAGATTGACTGTAACTAATAACATAATGAATGAAGCTTTTTAATCCTATTCTGGAGGTCTTCAACAGGGGGTCTGTGACCCCGAGGGGGTCCACAGAGGCTCTGCATGGGGGTCGGGAAAGTTTTAGTTGATGAAACTTTTTTTTTTATATTCCCCCTGCAATTTGTTCCACTAATAGAAATGTCTTTAAATACACATGAAACATGAATTCAAGACACTGTAGTAACCAGATAAATGGAGGCAGAAGATGTCTTTCAGTCATCAATGCTCACATTCAGCGACACACAGGAGCTCTTTCAAGCTGGGCACCGTTTCATTCACAACACCTGTACCATTAACTAGGAATCAGAATCAGAAATATTTTAATAATCCCAGGGAGGAATTACTTTTGTTACATGACTCCATCTGTAATAGATGGGGTAACACTGTGACTCAATCTCCATCTCGCCATCAGTTTAGGGATGCTCTGCCTGGTAAACATTGAAGACCCCTGGTTTAGCCTATTAACGAATATTCATACACAGTCTAGTTTGCATAGGTTTCGATTGCACTGGTTCCTGTATCAGTGCCAGTAATCCACTAATAGCTTATTAGTTTCCTATTGTTTAATTTACTTGAACTGCAGAGAATAATTGATGAGCAAAGTTGTGAACTTTTTAGTTTAAAGAATATTTAAGATGCAAGTTTTTAGTAGGGCCCATTCTGCTTTACTTCGATTCTCTACAAATCACCAGAAAGTAGTAAAATGTATATTGTGAGAAAAATTTTCCACATAACTACAGACCACTTATTGTTACTCATAAAAATTCCACATTTTGCCACTTTGTTTCAGTTAAATCGTCTGAAAACCTCCAACCTATAGCTGCACCTATCCTCATCTCACCCTGACAGGATTTGGTGAAAAGTTGTCAGTCCTGCTATATATAGTTAGAACTATTATAACTCTGTTATAACTATTATATCCTTAATCAACACTAATCCAACTGAGGTTTAGTTTAAAAATAAACCAAAACAATCTACTATTGATGTAGTGGAAACTTCATAACCCTCAAGTAAAGACCATTCTAGTTACCATCTTCCAGGTTAAGCATTTATTGAACTCTGACCTTTGCACGCCCACAGCTCCACCAATCAGATGGCTCTTGTAACCCAATATGCTCATAAATCACACATATGAAAATTAACTAATTTCTTTTTTGTTTGTATTTAACAGAGATTCTAATATCCCCTTGAAGGTAATACATTATTGCTGAATTAAAAGATCCAAAATGTTGCATCAAGGTTTATAGTTAGAAACAGTCTGCCAAGACTTTCCACAACAAGTAATGACATAACCACACTCTAAAGTAGGACACAATGAATATGTGTTTTATTTCTGCTGGTTGGTTTTCACTTTTTATACATAAAATAGGTAAAATAAGTGGAATAAATGTATTGTTATTCCTCACCAGACGTTTTTATCCACACCGATCGTTCTGCTCGCATTAAGCCGTCTGGCCATGATTACCTGAAACACAATACATGTTATAAATGTTGTGTAAATAAGAAACATTTACTTTATCTTGATCACCACAACAGGGGCTCACCTGGTGCTGGTTTATAACTAAATTAGGACGGATCAAAGCGAAACTAGCGGCCAGATTCTTGATTATTCCCATGAATGGAAGCTCATTATCTCAGACATGTGAGTACAGACAGTAAGCTGTCACTTAATGAGCGACTCAAACTTTATGAGAAAGTCTGCGAGTTGAAAAAAATGCAGCAAAGTCAGCAACTTTTTTTTTCTCGACCTTCTTGTTTTCATTTACTTCCGGTGTGGGCGGGGCCAGAACATGCATGCGCCGTGCATCAATGGGCGCGCGCAGCAGAACCAGACCAGATAACACACCAGGTGTTTTTGGTATGTCTCGCTTCATTCTGGACAATATTTATGAAAATTTGAACTTTATTTTAAAGATTTTTTATGTGGAATCACAAAATATAAAAAAGAACTTTCTGACCAATTTCTTTTTATTTAATCTTTTGCTACTGTTGGCCACGTTTTATATCCATAAATTTAAAATTCTTATGACTAAACCCTCATTTATCTCTTTTTTAAAGGAAGCAACAACTTATTTTTCTGCATTTTCCTCTTCCAATAACAAAAAGGCTTTTAAAACTTTATCTATATACTCTAAATTTAAAGTATTTACGTAATCCCTTTACATGCATCTATTTACTATTGCTATTTTTACTTTTATTCAGTTACTTTTTATCCATTTATTTTTTTTTGCTCAAACCCCTGGCGATTATTCACTGGAATTTGTACTTCTTTCTGTATTATAAAGCATTTTCTAATAAAGTTTATTAAAAAACTTTCGGTTTATTAATGTCATACTTGACTTTCCGGTAGGAAGCTGGATTCCTTCTAAACGAGGCTGGTCACCATGGTAACGTGATATTAACGGCTAACCTGCTTCGGGACTTTTAGGAATGATCTGAATCAAAGAAGACGCTCTACCGAGCAACCAATCAGCTTCTCGAGAAACGATGACGCGCTCTTTGATTGAAGAACCTAAAAAGAACTTACACAAAACTTCACAATAAAGAAATTTTAACACAAAAAGCATTTAAAACAAAGAATGTTCTTGAAAAGTTTAATAGTTTTGAATATATACTTATTTTTTTCTTCTTCCTTTTTGACATACACATTAGCTTTTCTGTATATTTTTACCTCCTTTATAATGAATGATCTAATACATCACCTGTTTCTTGTATATTTAAATATGAGAAAATAAAAAAAAATAAAAAATTCTTAAAATAAAAATATGGGCAAATTGTGAAAGGTTATTAGGATCATGGTGACAATTATGGGCAATAGAGGTTATCAAGGACCTCACTGGCCTATACATATATACCAGATCCTAGAACCGCATGTTGGCCCTAAATGTATCACAGAAAATGATGTATGGTCATTGGGATATTGGCCGGCAGCTTCATGTACGCTGTTTGGTGGGGATTCAATTCAATTCAGTCTATTTGTATAGCGCCAATTCATAACAAAAGTCATCTCAAGGCACTAAAGAGTTCAACCAGATCATATACGTAGTCAAATTGATTCAAAGTTTTCTATCTGAGGAAAACCAGTTGATTGCATCTGCTCATTGACTCAAAGCAATCGTCACACCAAGCATGCTTGTAGCGACAGTGGAGAGGAAAAACTCCCTTTTAACAGGAAGAACCCTCCAGCAGAACCAGGCTGAGTGTGAGCGTCCATCTGCTGAGGCCGACTGGGGTTCAAGCACTGATCTCTATTTATTCCCTGGATTTCTGATAGCCTGAAAAAAGTGAAGTACTCCCCACTACCACTGAGATGCTCAGTAAATATGCCTACGTGTGTAGCATTTGGCTGAAAAAGCAAGCAGTTAACCATTGACATTGTGTCTAAAGTTAGAAAATAGAAAGTAGAGTAAATATAAAGTAATTCACTGTAAAAAGTCAATGTAGGAATTTTTTTATTAACTGGATGACGCTGTCATTTTTGTAGTGTTTGTTGTATTTCTCATTTGAAAAAGTCATGTGCTGAAATATATTGCATGTGATATTGACAGAAAAATAGCAACTCAAACATTTTAATGGCTAATGCACATGCACAGCATAAATGTATATAGCTACATTCATGCACAATTTGCAAATAGGAAAATACTATAGCATTAACTGACATGTAAATTTTTTCAGTCTTGATGTGAATTCTTGAAATCATATGTAATATGTAATTACCCTAACAATATAATCAATACATGCATATTACATGTACATCATCAATTTGGCACATCTGTATTATTATCCTCCATGATGGATTTGTATGTTGTTACATGATTCAGACTTCATTGACTTCATAATGACTATAAATGTGATGTGCTCATTTGTTTTATTTTAAGTTACACTAATCTACGTATGCTATGAAACAGCAAGTCTGTGTCAAGTGAATTCGTCTTTATTTTAAAAGTCTTAAGCCCCCCTGAAAAGATGAGATGAGAAAATCATCGTTGTTTGTCGCTGTAGCGCATTTAATGTTTACATTGCGACCGGTCTAACTAGGGAGTACCAATATGGCGGCCGATGGCTTCATTCAACCCCCTACTACCAACAGACCATCAGCAATTCATTGAATAAATAGAGATCAGTGGGTTCAAGGAGACAGAAGCAGACATGCAGAAAGAAGCAGAGATATAAAAGGCTCTCTAAAAACAGTCTGTTGGGTTTTCCATCAGTGTCCATCAGCTGAGTGAATGACTTTATTGATCTCACAATTGAAAAATGTACTCATTAAATTGCCTCAAATAGTCAAAAAGGTGCCAAAGGAAGAAAATGTGCATGGAGCTTTATACAGTATATACAACACGTCCACATATCTATATTACAGCTGATGTTTTTTTAAGGATTATTGTACAGGGTATTGATACGGATGGCTATTTATCTATATAGCTATTGCACTGGGTATCAAATATAAAGATACAGGTTATTGCACAGGGTATTAAGTAGTAATTGCACATTACACATCGCACTAGTTATTGCCATGTAGTGTCGCATAGTAGAGTCTGGTGGCAGCAGGGATGAATGAACTGAAATTTTTTATCTGTCCCTCTGCAAATGGGTTTGGTTGACATTAAAGTACATACAGCGTTTGAATATTGATTTGGGTGGGGATTTATTGCATTTGCTATATAAGCTTATAAAAAAAAAATTTAATCGCAGACACTCCAATGCCTCTGGGATTTTATTTGATCGATCATCCATCAACCCATCTTCTATCTGATGCAGATATCTGTACAGTGTGGGGACTACAAATCTGATATATGCGTTGACAGTATGGCTGCAAAAGATCCTCAGAAATGAAATTAGCTTATAGAACAGTAGTGAGAAGTTTGGCATCTATTCTCAGCCTAGTTTGTGAGTCAACTGTCATGGTTGCTAGGTGACAGAGCTTACACTGAGTGATGGCTGGTAACAGCTAGGGAAGGCTGGACCTGTTTTAATCTATAGCCAAACTCTTCCAGCATCCAGTAGGCTGGGTCCTTCAGAGGATGCAGCCGCCAAATTCGAACAGCTTTTGGTACAGGGGGGGAAAGCCCCCCCTGATCGGGATGTAGTAACACCCCCTGGAGTCAGGGGTACAAGGATTCTACTCTATGATCAACCAAAGCTGGTCAATCGTGATTGTTGTGGATTGGTTAATCGTGCCTTAATGGTACGAGCTCAGAAGTTCAGATTTGAGCACATTTGTTTCAAGGAGAATCTTAAAATAAAACTATATAATCAACAATCCAAATTCATAGAAAAGTAGCCAGCTAATTTTAAACTATGTGCTAAATAACTCTCTTAAGTTTTGTTACGTAATACCTTTAAATAAATGTTAAATATTCAGTATCTATATGCATTATAACAAAAAAAGCCAGAGGTTTAAACTAGATGATAAAGTTCTTTACTTTTGTTAAAATAAACACATTTCACAGCAGAATATAACTCATATCAGATCTAAGCAAAATTTTCAGCTTAATTATGAAACAGTTTGTATGACAGGATGTAGTTTTATTTCATGTAAAAAACAACCTTCCATATAAAGAAATCCACAGGATAAGGAAACTTCTCTCCCCCTAAACTGCAGCTTTCTTTAAGTCCTCAGGTAGGATTCTTCCCTTCTTCCGGGCTCTGTCCTTCTTCTTCTCTATTTTAGCCTTCTTACGTCTCTGGAGGTTCTTCTTCCTCTTATCCTGTCTTTGCTGCATCTTTTCAATCACATTCTCGCTCCGATGCTCCCACTTCTTCTTCCTCTGCTCACGCCTCTTCTCTTTCCTCTTCAAAGAAGCACGTAGTTGATCTTCATCATCCTTGATTTTGATGCCCTCTGCCTTATAGAGCATGTTGGTCCATTTGATCTTCTTCTCCATCTCCGAAGCCTTGGTCTCGTCCTTCTCCCTCAGCTTCTCCAACTTCTCTTTGCGAGCTTCCACTCGGCTCAGAAGTTGTTTGTAGTTCTTCCCAGTCAGTGGCGTTATCTTACCTTTCTCGCTCTTTTTCCTTTTAATTTTTGCCTGTATACTAGTTTCATACGCCTTGTCCACCGTCTCTACTTTGTTAAAGATAACGGCCGCTTTGACTCTTTTCTCGGAGGCAGGAGCAATCGTTTCTTCTTTTATCTCTGCAGGTTGTTCCTGAGCGCTTTGCTCTGCTAGTTTCTTTATCAGAAATTCTTTCCTCTTCCTCTTCTTACGTTCTCGTTCCATTTTTCGCTTTGCACGCTTTGCCATGACAGCCTCTGATAATGCATCCTTTGGAGCTCCCTATTGAAAGATAGAGACATGTTATTACTCTAGTAAAAGAACGGTGCTGTTGGAAGACCCCTCCTGCCTCTTATGGTATGACCGAAGTGACTATCCTAAAGGTGGGAATGACTAAATAGTCCTGCGGTTAAGTTATTAACTTAAGTTTTGAGATGGATATGTGCAAAATACTTCAAATCAATGTTGCATCATGTTATTACGATGGAATAATGAGACACTGTAGCTTTGCTAGACTTTTTAAAAAGCTAGGTTGTTTCAGGTTGGAGGACATTATATTGATGGTGATGCTGATGTGTCCTTTGCAGCATCAGGATGATTTGCTGCTGACTTATTGAAGCATGAATTTTGCTCACTACCCTGAAGGATATAATCCAAACACCAGTTCATTACCTTCAACTCTAACATACTGGAATCATATAAACCCAGAAAAACACTGGTGACTTTTTTGCTCACAGTCATTTATTTGGTTAAAGTTTCTTTCATTCTTTAAAATAACAATTTTAACTGCAAAAAGTCTTGGTATTTATAAATACAATATGACTAATTTATTAGTTGGATATTAAGAATTTATTTGAGAATCTGAGACAACTAAGAGTGAAAACAAGGGGGGGCAAGTGTTTTTTCAAAGAACTAAAAATATTTGGAAAGGCTCAAAGGAAAACCTTGTTTTAATTGGTTCAGAATTGTCTTGGGTACTTTCCCCTGGTCTCCTAATCGACTCTAATGGAATAAAATCCTCTGAAGGAGCTTCTCCAGATGAAAAACTGATTCTTGAAGCATCGATTCCAATTTAAACAGCAGATTAGAAGAACAATATGGACAACTACTTGTGAACCATTGAGAGAACGTCTATCGACAATCCAACTTAAAGGGCCTGTATCTGATTTTAATTTAATGTCTCTATTGTGTGGCAGAAGTCATTAAATTAAAATAAGTCAATGATTGTGCATATATAGGAATCCAGGTGTTGTTAGCGCAGGTTTCTAACAGTTTTCTCTGTCGATGGGATTCATTCTACAAAGCTTCTGGTTTTTAACCAGCCAATAGGGGCGTTTCCCAACGAGGAGTGTCTTTTCTCAAAGCTCTTCCACCGTACGTCTTCTAAACAGAGAAATGTGGCGGCCAATGAAGGGAAAGTTGTGATACACCCACTGCCTGTCACTGCATATACACCAAAACAGCCGAAAGGGTCAAAATGGAGGAAGAAAAGAGAGTTGAAAGTCGAGAATAATCAATGAAGGATCAAAGCTGGTATAAATATGGGACCAGCCTACTCAGTGGAGAGCTTTGGGGGACTGGCTGCAGTGCTCCTAGACAGGCATGTTTTCATTACTTTTATGTGTGCATTATAACATGCATGAGGAGTGGGAGGAAAGTTTCTCAATGGGAGAAGGTTAGGGGCGGGGCTTACACATCAAACTAAGGCCCCGTCCACATGAAGTCAAAACGAACACGAAACGCTGATATTTTCCAAAACGTTTGCCGTAAAGACGGAGACGTAAAATAAATGTGAGCGTCCACACGAATGCATGAAAACGCTGCAAAATGTATGCCAGGCCTGTAAGTGGCGCTGTGGTGCCAAAGCAAAAATAAGCGACGAAATGTTGGGCATGTGCACTAATATTTATACATGGTTGCCCTGCGGGTCCATTTTCGTGGTTCAGTCAAATTCAGGTGCTGAACTATGTCGTCGATATTGCTCTGTTCTTCCTGGAGATATTCCAGAAGAAGAAGATTCTGTTGTAAGCCCGACAGCAGGGTGAGTAGCATTAGCAGCAACGGCGCCATTGTTGTTGTGATACTGGTCGCGCATGCGTGTTTAGAGGCGACGCTATGACGCATGCGTGTAAAAAAAAATATGCGGTTAGAGCGTAAAGATGGAAACGCGAAAACGGCGTTTCGAAATCTTCCCACTCTGAAGGCTGAATAAAAAAAAGATCGTTTACAGACCCCCGAAACGCCGGCTTCGTGTGGATGAGAGGCTGGTTTGGTGAAAAATTTGTGCGTTTAGGCCAGGGCTCGTCTTCGTGTGGACGGGGCCTAAACTGTTCTCCTTACCCATGGTTTAAAACTGTGCAGAATCAGGTAGAGCACCTTTAAAGCTAGCTTTACAGCAGGAGTTAAACTGGATCTATTGAGGGAAGGAGAAGGAATAGTCAATCAAAACACCCAAAATCTAAATACTTAATGCCAAATCCATTTCACCAGCCAATAGGAACTGTTGTAATCGTCTTATTTCACTTCTGTCTACACTCTACACACAGCATCTGTGTGCTTTTCTTTGTTTGAGAACAACCTTTAAATTAAATAATGTATTACTTCACTTAGCTTTTAAGCTGAATTCAGGAATACATACCTGTCCTCTGGACTCTTCAATCTTCTCATGGAGCCTTTTACGCAATACATCCACAGTGGAGAAGCTTGGCTCTGCATTACCTCCTTAATTTAGCAAATTAAGACCAAGTTAGATAAAGAATTCTTTAAATAATGTCTGAAATACGCATTTATACCATACCTTTAGGTATCTGCAACGTGGCTCCATTCAAACTTTGAAGGGTTGCTTTTGTTTTTTCAAGGTTTTTCTGTGCAGCTGGAGAAGCACGAGGCTTCTGTTGGGGTTTGAGAGGCTCTTCTTTGCCATTCTCCTTCAAATTCTTCTTTTTTAATTTCTTTTTCTTCTTGCCTTGAAGATCTGCATCACTTTTACCCTTGAAAGGAACTAATCAGAGAAAAACAATCACTATCCCATAACTACCATGTAATTTTTTTAATTTCTAATTATTGTCATTCATAAAAAAATATATATATAAAAAATATTTTGTTCAATAAATCTAAGACATTTTCAACTACAGACTTAACCCAGTTTTAAAGTGGAGAAACACAAAAAAAATTAAGTTTGTCGTTAAATGAAAAACTTTAACAAGACAATTTTTATACAGAAAAATATACAATAAATCCCTTTTAAATGAATAAACACAAAGTGCATTATGTGCATAAACAGAAGACATCATTTTTCAGATATCTATGAATAATATTGGTTTGCAAACAGTGAGTTAGCTTGTTGCAGATATACAAAAAAAAATAAAACATATCTATTATTTTTAAAGCTCAAAATATTTTACTTTATACTTTTTTCTATAATTAAGCCACTTTTGTCAAACAGTCGTAATAGATTGGTTATGATACGCAAAGGGCTACTTATATGCCACTTTAGAGCAGAAATGCTAACGTTTACCAAATGATATCTTCTTCTTTGGCTCATTTTCTCGCTGGGAAATAACTTTACTGGCAAGTTTCTGAATATAGGAGTCCTTTGAAGCGAGGTCCATGTTAGCACCGAACACAGCCAGTGAAAAATATCTGGATAAAATTGAGATCAGAACATTTCAGTACGCACGTGGGTTAAAAACAAACAGGGCGGAATGACGTTTACCCCGGAAGGAGTAACACCAAAAACATTCCCCCTCTGTATGTCCTAACAGGAAGTAACAAGTCAGTTATGTAGCTACTTTACCATCAATGTTTTGACTCGACATGGCTTCCCTGAAAACCCTGCTGGCTTATTCCAGTAGGCTTCTTCCGACATTAAGCAAGCAGGCAAGTTTTATGTTTTAAGACTTTAATCTCTGGAGAAAGTGAGAATATAATGAGTTTAGTCTATTTTTTCATCACTACAGACTCCTGCCACTAACATCCAGAGGATCCCCTTCGTCCCAGCTCTCTTTAGACGCCTAGACGGTGAGTAGTTCAGCAGGTAAAACCCCACTGAGCGTCTTTTGATGCATTTACAGTTATTTGTTCTATTAAATTATTAAGATTTTTTAATAATTTGCCGGTTTAGTTAAATTTATAGCCATTCATTCTGCTCGTTATTCAAACAATTATTAAATGTAATCCTTTTTTTGTATCAATTTTGTTTCAGCATAAAAAGTCAGATTTATTCATTTTTGTGCTGTAAATCTTTAGGTAGTTTTATTATCTTTGGGCGACGATGCAGTTCTACAGCAGCCAATGCAGAAAAGGGCGAGGACTCCTTTCTCAAGTGGTTCCTGCTGCTCATCCCTGTGACCACCTTTGGTCTGGGAACATGGCAGGTACTGCTTCTTTACAGAGTTCATCCTCTTTTGTTCTTTGTTTTCTGGATTGGTCCTGATGATTTTTTGGGGGGTTTTTTTGTGAAGGTAAAAAGACGCCAATGGAAGATGGGACTCATTGATGAGCTGAAACGTTTGACCACAGCGGAGCCTGTCCCCCTACCTCCTGAGTAAGTAGCTGAATTTTCCCATCGAAAAAGGGTTACACAGCAGGTCATACTGGGATAAGGGGAGTGTTGGCCTAGTGGTTAGAGCAGTGGCTTGTGCTGAGAAAGTTGCAAGTTGCCAGTTCGATCCCCACTGCCTGCACTCTGGGGCTCTGAGAAAGACCCTTAACCCCACACTGCTCCCCGGGCGCCACACAATGGCTGCCCACTGCTTCCCAAAAGGACGGGTTAAACGCAGAGGTACATTTCTGCAATGTGAGATCAACAAAGTTTAGTCTCTTCTTATAACTTCTACAAGCTATCGGTTAAAAAAAACACATTTGTAATCATTTTATTTTTGTTATTTTTTCATAGATGTGTTTTTTTTTTTTTTATGAAAAAAAAAGAAAAAAAGTGAGAGTTAATATGAAAAAAAAGCCCTGTGACCACCATGCCAATATGAATCTACTTTCTTACCCAGATGGAGGACAAAGTATAACTCTAGAACTAAGAAATAGGCATATATTTTTTCCTCCCTTTTTTTTTTTTTTTTTTTTTAGAATATTTTTTAACGAAACAGAACAAAATGTTTTGTTTTGCCTATTTATAAACTTTATGTGTCAGCTACAACTAGGGTGACCAGATGTCCTGTTTTGCGCAGTACAGTCCTGCATTTCTCACTTCTGTCCTGCTATTCCACAAACCGTAGCAATGTCCCACATTTGGCTGGAAAAAAAGTCAGTTTATATTTAAAGCCGGTTTTCTTAAATAAATCAGAGCTGCACCGGAGTACAGCTTCAAGACCAAGCTGTGAACGAAGCTCAAACCTAAAGAGGTAAAGGATTTTTATATAAAATATGTTGGAAACTATTGTTAACGTAAATGAAACAGCTACAACAAATACTGTGGAACAATTTTTCATTTGGCGAGGCCAGTGAAAGGTGATGATGAAGTTTGCTCTGATAAGAGGGGAGTACGATGTAAAGTTACAATGTAAACTGAGTCACAAAACTTAGTTACAAAAGGTGTCTGTCTCTCATTGTCCCTCCGCAGCATCCCAGTTATCCAAAATTTGTGGCGTTTTTTTTTGTAGATCTCCCCTTTTAACAACAGTATTTGTCATACTGGACATCTGGTGATCAGTTTACCGGGTTCAGTATAGCAGTTTGTCATTCATAACCCCAGTCCAAAGCTGTGTTTCTAAATAGAAATAAGCAACCTATAAAACCATGTGTTCTCCATCAGCAAATCCTGGGATGTTTTTCTTCCACTGGATATGTGTGCTTTGACTTCTTAATGTAAAATTATGCTGCTGTAATAAATACATTTTCTTCAGTGCTTCTTTAATTGGTCTGCTAACCAGACTGTCTTCTTCCACATGAACTCTACGTTTTTGAGCAGGTGTTCTTCCCTTCTGTCTTTCTGGATTTTAGTCCTGTTGAAGTGAACAAGCTGGAGTACAGAAGGGTGAAAGTTCGTGGGCACTACGATCACTCTCAGGAGCTCTACATCATGCCCCGCTCGCCTGTCGATCCAGAGAAAGAAGCCAGAGAGGCAGGGAGTCTGTCCTCTAGTGGAGAGATTGGAGCTAATGTTATCACACCTTTTCACTGCTCTGACCTTGGGTAAGGGAATCATTAAGGTTTTACCACAAGACACTGGATCAAACTGCTGTCATATGTCACTCATGTCCCTGCAGCATCAAAATACTGGTCAACAGAGGATATGTACCAAGGCAGAAAATACGACCGGAGACCAGAATGAAGGGGCAGGTTAGAGATTTAAAGTGGCTGTTACCCATCTGAGGCTCACTGCTCTGAAAAAAGGAAATCTTCAGATATCAACCAGGTAACACCCTACTTTGTTTGCCTCACTACCTGCAGGTGGAGGATGAGGTGGAAGTGGTGGGGGTCGTCAGGCTGACGGAACCTCGTAAACCGTTTGTTCCGAACAACGACGAAGAGAGAAACCGTTGGCATTACCGTGACTTGGAGGCCATGTCTCGCATCACTGGAGCTGCTCCCATCTTAATCGACGCCGACTTCCGTAAGGACCGAAGCTCACTGAGAGGCGGTTCATAATCAGAGGACCTCTGATTACCAATCCAAATGTTTTGTGCTTTTAATGGCAGAGAGCACGATTCCAGGAGGACCAGTTGGGGGACAGACCAGAGTCACACTGAGGAATGAACACATGCAGTACGTCATAACTTGGTGAGTTATAGCTTCTTTATTTAGCTTTAAAAACTTCAAAGTTGAATTATTAATTGAATAATATTCCCCTGCTTTTCCAGGTATGGATTGTGTGCAGCTACTTCCTACATGTGGTATACCAAGTTCATCAAGAAGATTAAAATATAATATTTCTTGAAAATGTTGATTCATTTATGTCTTTGTTGTTTGTGTCTCTAAAAATACAAATAAATACCTTATAAACAAAGGAGTTTCTGCTGAAATCTACAAAATAGTAAAACTGCAAACTCTGCTATATTAGAGGGTTAGTTAAAAAGAACGAGCAGAGCTTCTGCAAATTCTGGTAGCCTGTTTACAAGACTTTTTGGGACATTTTAAAATATTTCCCTAAATGTAACCCTGAGGTGCAAAAGTCTAATTCAAACGAGGTTTTATCCAAAAGATTATTAACTTGAATTCATTGTTGTTCCATTATATCGCTAACGTCCATCATAGGATAATTTCACCAGTTGGTCAAAAGTTTAAGTAACATCCAATTGTATAACTTGCATTCCAGTGTATCTCAATTAATCAGTTTCTTTATTGTCAAATTCAATTTACATTTTAATCGAGATTTCAGTTCTAATATAAACTGTTCATCACATCCATTGGGCTGGCAGGGGGAATGATTTAGTGAGTCCATGCGTGCCGCAGAACTCTGCCATTGGCGCATTCTTAATGCTGCTAAGTGCCCCACCCTGAGGTGATTGATGAAATGCATAAATTTTTTTACATTATTGCTGTACACAGGCCATTGTCCTTGATAAGATGGAAGTTTATCAACCAGCACTTCAATTCTGGACACATCCACAGATGTTAGCGGGTTGGGTAGATGTGTGTGTTGGGGGGGTAAATGTTCTTGAATAAATATTTTTTGTACGTTTTTTGGTAGCAGATTATTAAAAGCTTTATGTGGCATAATTACAGTGCAATATTTAAAAAGGTCATGAAATTTTCATATATTTGAATGAGTTGAAGTGATGAAGAGATCATGAGTATTTTCTAAAAAAAAAAAACACTGATGGATGATCTGTTGTACCAGTTTTCGCAATAGAAATAGTGGATTAATTCAACATTTTTAGTTATTACCCCATACCTCGATAGGGGACAACCAAAGAGCAATATATGATCAACGTATTTTTTGGCTTTATTTATAATAAGAAGCTCTTTGAGCGGGGAGTGGCCGCCTAGTGGTTAGGGCATAGGGCTTTGAATCCTGAGATTGTGAGTTTGATCCCCCACTCGCACAGACTGCCAAACTGGCTCCCTGAGCAAGATCCTTGACCTCACACTGCTCCCCGGGCGCCTCACAATGGCAGCTCACTGCTCCTCTAGGGGATGGGTTAAATGCAGAGAAGTAATTTCCCTCTGGGATTATTAGAGTATATAAAATCAAAAATTGGATTGCTTTTTTGATTAACAAAACTATTTACTTTTGTTTCATTTAGATTTGTCAATATTTTGCTTGCATCCATCCATTCTGCAACTAACGATTATTCAGCAAATCGATTAATTTTTCGATTACTTTATCGATTAATAATCGAATAGCCAAAGATTCTTTAAAGAAGATTTTTAGGAAAGTAAATCAGGTGAAACTGAAACTTTTCCACTTGAGGAGTTCTAGATAGAGCATACTGATAGACAAAACTTTTTCTGTTTTTTGGTATAGAAAATTTAGGTATAATTACTGCTCAAAGTGGGTCGCTCTGTCAGCTTAAGACATGTCTTAGAGTCTTTATACTCCAGTTAACGATTCATCGATTACTAATGTAGTTGCTGATTATTTCAAGAATCGATTAATCTAAATAATTAATTCATCAGCAAACAGAATTAGTTTTAATTTCTGTGATCGTTAAATATATAATTTATATAAAGATTGAAAAACGTTGGACTCAATACTGAACTCTGGGGAACACCACAGGTAATAGCAAGAAGAT